TGTGCAAACAAAAATATGTTAGCTAAATGCGGAGATTAATAATCATTTCCCCAACCAGACAGACTTCTGTCAAATGTTTACTTTTAAAAAATAAGCTTGTTTTGTGCAAACAAAAATAGGTTAGCTAAATGCGGAGATTAATAATCATTTCCCCAACCAGACAGACTTCTGTCAAATGTTTACTTTTAAAAAATAAGCTTGTTTTAAGCAAACAAAAATATGTTAGCTAAATGCGGAGATTAATAATCATTTCCCCAACCAGACAGACTTCTGTCAAATGTTTACTTTTAAAAAATAAGCTTGTTTTGTGCAAACAAAAATATGTTAGCTAAATGCGGAGATTAATAATCATTTCCCCAACCAGACAGACTTCTGTCAAATGTTTACTTTTAAAAAATAAGCTTGTTTTGTGCAAACAAAAATATGTTAGCTAAATGCGGAGATTAATAATCATTTCCCCAACCAGACAGACTTCTGTCAAATGTTTACTTTTAAAAAATAAGCTTGTTTTGTGCAAACAAAAATATGTTAGCTAAATGCGGAGATTAATAATCATTTCCCCAACCAGACAGACTTCTGTCAAATGTTTACTTTTAAAAAATAAGCTTGTTTTGTGCAAACAAAAATATGTTAGCTAAATGCGGAGATTAATAATCATTTCCCCAACCAGACAGACTTCTGTCAAATGTTTACTTTTAAAAAATAAGCGTGTTTTGTGCAAACAAAAATATGTTAGCTAAATGCGGAGATTAATAATCATTTCCCCAACCAGACAGACTTCTGTCAAATGTTTACTTTTAAAAAATAAGCTTGTTTTGTGCAAACAAAAATATGTTAGCTAAATGCGGAGATTAATAATCATTTCCCCAACCAGACAGACTTCTGTCAAATGTTTACTTTTAAAAAATAAGCTTGTTTTGTGCAAACAAAAATATGTTAGCTAAATGCGGAGAATAATAATCATTTCCCCAACCAGACAGACTTCTGTCAAATGTTTACTTTTAAAAAATAAGCTTGTTTTGTGCAAACAAAAATAGGTTAGCTAAATGCGGAGATTAATAATCATTTCCCCAACCAGACAGACTTCTGTCAAATGTTTACTTTTAAAAAATAAGCTTGTTTTGTGCAAACAAAAATATGTTAGCTAAATGCGGAGATTAATAATCATTTCCCCAACCAGACAGTCTTCTGTCAAATGTTTACTTTTAAAAAATAAGCTTGTTTTGTGCAAACAAAAATATGTTAGCTAAATGCGGAGATTAATAATCATTTCCCCAACCAGACAGACTTCAGTCAAATGTTTACTCTTAAAAAATAAGCTTGTTTTGTGCAAACAAAAATATGTTAGCTAAATGCGGAGATTAATAATCATTTCCCCAACCAGACAGACTTCTGTCAAATGTTTACTTTTAAAAAATAAGCTTGTTTTGTGCAAACAAAAATATGTTAGCTAAATGCGGAGATTAATAATCATTTCCCCAACCAGACAGACTTCTGTCAAATGTTTACTTTTAAAAAATAAGCTTGTTTTGTGCAAACAAAAATAGGTTAGCTAAATGCGGAGATTAATAATCATTTCCCCAACCAGACAGACTTCTGTCAAATGTTTACTTTTAAAAAATAAGCTTGTTCTGTGCAAACAAAAATAGGTTAGCTAAATGCGGAGATTAATAATCATTTCCCCAACCAGACAGACTTCTGTCAAATGTTTACTTTTAAAAAATAAGCTTGTTTTGTGCAAACAAAAATATGTTAGCTAAATGCGGAGATTAATAATCATTTCCCCAACCAGACAGACTTCTGTCAAATGTTTACTTCTAAAAAATAAGCTTGTTTTGTGCAAACAAAAATATGTTAGCTAAATGCGGAGATAAATAATCATTTCCCCAACCAGACAGACTTCTGTCAAATGTTTACTTTTAAAAAATAAGCTTGTTTTGTGCAAACAAAAATATGTTAGCTAAATGCGGAGATTAATAATCATTTCCCCAACCAGACAGCCTTCTGTCAAATGTTTACTTTTAAAAAATAAGCTTGTTTTGTGCAAACAAAAATAGGTTAGCTAAATGCGGAGATTAATAATCATTTCCCCAACCAGACAGACTTCTGTCAAATGTTTACTTTTAAAAAAATAAGCTTGTTTTGTGCAAACAAAAATAGGTTAGCTAAATGCGGAGATTAATAATCATTTCCCCAACCAGACAGACTTCTGTCAAATGTTTACTTTTAAAAAATAAGCTTGTTTTGTGCAAACAAAAATATGTTAGCTAAATGCGGAGATTAATAATCATTTCCCCAACCAGACAGACTTCTGTCAAATGTTTACTTTTAAAAAATAAGCTTGTTTTGTGCAAACAAAAATAGGTTAGCTAAATGCGGAGATTAATAATCATTTCCCCAACCAGACAGACTTCTGTCAAATGTTTACTTTTAAAAAATAAGCTTGTTTTGTGCAAACAAAAATAGGTTAGCTAAATGCGGAGGTTAATAATCATTTCCCCAACCAGACAGACTTCTGTCAAATGTTTACTTTTAAAAAATAAGCTTGTTTTGTGCAAACAAAAGTATGTTAGCTAAATGCGGAGATTAATAATCATTTCCCCAACCAGACAGACTTCTGTCAAATGTTTACTTTTAAAAAATAAGCTTGTTTTGTGCAAACAAATATATGTTAGCTAAATGCGGAGATTAATAATCATTTCCCCAACCAGACAGACTTCTGTCAAATGTTTACTTTTAAAAAATAAGCTTGTTTTGTGCAAACAAAAATATGTTAGCTAAATGCGGAGATTAATAATCATTTCCCCAACCAGACAGACTTCTGTCAAATGTTTACTTTTAAAAAATAAGCTTGTTTTGTGCAAACAAAAATATGTTAGCTAAATGCGGAGATTAATAATCATTTCCCCAACCAGACAGACTTCTGTCAAATGTTTACTTTTAAAAAATAAGCTTGTTTTGTGCAAACAAAAATATGTTAGCTAAATGCGGAGATTAATAATCATTTCCCCAACCAGACAGACTTCTGTCAAATGTTTACTTTTAAAAAATAAGCTTGTTTTGTGCAAACAAATATATGTTAGCTAAATGCGGAGATTAATAATCATTTCCCCAACCAGACAGACTTCTGTCAAATGTTTACTTTTAAAAAATAAGCTTGTTTTGTGCAAACAAAAATAGGTTAGCTAAATGCGGAGATTAATAATCATTTCCCCAACCAGACAGACTTCTGTCAAATGTTTACTTTTAAAAAATAAGCTTGTTTTGTGCAAACAAAAATATGTTAGCTAAATGCGGAGATCAAGTCGTCTGCGTCTTGCGCAGGAGTTGCGGTTACGTCAGGACGACGCAGCGCTCTGATTGGCTGTGATCGAAAGGATAGTGGCTGGACCCCAATGCTAGATGCCTCAAGGTCCCGTTTTCTTCAATCAGCCAATCAGACCTCGGCGTCGTTTTGACGTCACTGCAACTCCTGAGCAAGAAGCAGACGAACTTGCGATCTGCATTGTGCAAATCTGTAAAGCTTATAGGACGCGTGTGACGTCAGAACGTTCTACGGACCATGCGACGGTTCGGAAGTATGGCGGAATCGGACCAGGTGCCGTGATTGGCCCCGGAAGTCGGATAGAGCCGTTTTGCCGAAGCGTCGTATGACCTGTATGACGTTTTCCCTCGCGTGCGCGTGTGTCTTGACTGTTATGGCCTCGTGTGCGGACCTGTATAGATTGCTCCAGGCCATTACAGTTCTCGGCAACACTGCGATTTTTTTTGTAAGAGGAGAAATTTTTGTGAGAGGAGAAAGGAGAAATTGACCATTTTCGTGAATATATTACTTAACATTCCGTGAAAAAAACCACACAACGAAATAAAAATGTATATTTTTTGTACAAAAGTTTAATTACTGACTTCTGATATTTTATTATTGTCATCTAAAATATTTCTAGGGACCATTGCCATGTTCGTTGTTGTTCAGTTCAAACTCCCTTTCTTTTTTTTTTGGTGCATGCTTTTAGGCATTGATATTTAGGAAATTTCGGGATACTTTGAGCGGAATGATTAGAGCCTAGACGTAAAGCTATGTGCGTTTACCTCAAATACCGTAGCAAAAAAAGAAAAAAAAAAGCTCGGTTTTTTGCGGAACCTTCACGCGTTCGATTAGGATATTCGTAAGTGCATCCTCAACTAGCTTCGTGTCATACACGTTCCAAACGCCAAAAGTATTGTATATTATATTCCTTCGACAACCAAATTATGCAAGAACTACTTCGCTTAGCGCACGAACAATGTGCAAACCTCGCATTTATCTCGATGCGACTATAGGGGTGTCGCGAACCAGCCGAGGTTCGAGTTCGGCCAGGTTCGACTTTTTCGAAACTTTAGTGGAAACTTCGACGAACCTTGTATTGAGGTTCGACTCGTGTGCGCATGCGCGACAGGCTGGCCAGTTGGCTTTGGATTGGATGGTGACGGCTAAGGGGAGAATTAAGGGCAGCGCTGATTGGTTATTTCAGTCAATGCAGTACAAGAAGATTAAGTTATTAACTTATTCAGTGATTAGAATTGGTTTCTTTTACTTTCAACTGTTCATAAAATAAAATAACCGTTTGCATAAAAAAAAAATTCTCCAAACCTAGACATGCTTGTATCAAGGTCTGGCCACAGTGTCCACAAAGTCGAACCGGTCGAATCTGGGGAAAAGTTCGAAGGTTCGTCGAACCGGTTCGACCCAGTCGAACCCCGAAAGTTCGACCTAAAAATCCGGTTCGACAAAAGTTCGCGACAACCCTAGCGACAATGGGCAAATAACTGCCTTTGTCTCTATACCCATTGTTAGAAAGCGTTCGAACGACAACGCCGGCGTCCAGCGCTCGGTGTTTGCTTCGAATAGTGAAAACATTTCAAGCATAGGGCTCGGTGCTGTGACTTTCCCGGGTGCTCTCATCTCCTACCCGTATATATTATGAACTGCAAGTTCTTAAAAGGAGCAACAACTTAGCGACATACCTTGGAGACGCGGCACATGGGCGCGAGCAGTCTGATGGGACTCTTGATGTGAGTGATCGTTGACACTGGCGCCAGCGCCGCAAAAACCGCTATCTGAAACCGGACATATCAACACTGTTACAAGGATACAAAACTCAATTATCCATTGATCCCAAGATCTCGCGTTAGTAGTTGTCACATGCTGAAGCGCCCTCCGCTGGCTAGAGAAATAGCGGACGTGTTTCGTCGAGGCAGAAGCTATTTTAACGTCTGCCGTCCAAACATATCTTAAAGATTATTGAGAGGTTCGTGACGTCACTTCTGTAAAATGGTAAAATAGTGACTTTACTACGTTCCCCGGTAAAGTATATACAGTAGCTGATGCCAGAGTGTCGAACCGATATTTTTATCGGTTCGGTTCGGGTTCGGGTTCACGGCTTTCGGTTCAGTTCCGGTTCAGTTCCGGAGCGCAAAAAATAACGGTTCAAACCGGTTCGAACCGGTTCGAACCGCTAAATTGAGAATATATTTTCCGCGTTGTTCTGTCAATAGGCACTATTTAAGCCGTGAAACTAACTGCTGTAAACGACCTGATTTTTGCGAGGATCTATTTTTGAGAATTTCACTAATCGCCTACGATTCGCGAAAAATTAGTCTCGCGAACAATTTCGGTAAAATGTAAACACATTAAAATTTATATTGAGATTCCACCGCGTCGAGAAAATTACAACCCGCGAATTATTCCAAAACTTCAGCTTTGACCTAAATCGCGAAATATTGAGCCCACGAAAAAATAAGTCGTTTACAGTATATAGTTTTCGTTTCTATTCGTTTGTTCAATCCAGTTTTATTTTCAGGTACCAAAATTATAAAATTCTGTTATTTATTCCTACACAACAAGAAAAGAAAATCTAGATTAACATACAAAACGTCGTGTTTATACGACTCAACATCCCTTCGTTTACCAGAGTCACATACATTGTACCTGAATCGAAATGTTTTCGCGAAATGAAGTAGGTTGCCTAAAATACCCGTTATTGGTACAACTTTGTATCGCAGTATTAGATGTTGAATCGTGGTTTTTCTCTTGAACTAAGGAATAAATTACAGTGAATAAAACCATGAAATGGGCACCTCGGTGTCATATATACCATAAAATGTGTTTTACGGAATACGTTTCACAATATATATATGATGACGAGACGACTGAGCTTAAGGCAATATAATTTTCAAAATGTCAAGAAAGTCACGGGACAAGTCCTTCCAGTCTATATTTTATAGAAACACTAAGCGACAATCGCAATGCTTGTTTTTCTAACTAGCATTGTTTGCTCTCAGCACCATGATGCGGGCGACGAATCATGCGAAAAGAAATGGCTGAAATGGTTCACTCTAATCTATGAGCACCTTCGTACTGAGATCGAATCTCACCTAAAACAGTGCTTACCCATGTGAACATTTTCTTATGTTGGATAAACTGGCATAGCCTGGATGTTGAGGTTTGCTCTTGACAAAATGCCGGCCCATTTAATTTGCAAATAAGCATCACCCTCGCTAATTGATGATTTTTGTTAATTAGAACAAAGTGGGATTTCATGCTCTACTCAATTCGGAAGCTACTTAATCGGACACTTTCTGAGAGTTTAAGTGTGCAATCGACATAGTTCCACCATTCGTTCCAGTGAAAAAACGCGATAATAAAAACACATACAAAACGCGATAATAAAAACACATACAAAACGCGATAATAAACTTCTATATATTTGAGAAGTTATTTATGCGTGAGGAGCACATAGTTATTTAAATTAGCTCCAAAATAAAAAAAAAATTATTCAAAGCTTTTCCAAATCACCTATAACGTGTCTATAGAGGATAAAAGCGCCGAAAAATATTTGCACAACATCTTTCAGATAATTTAAAAATGCACTTACTTATATATCTTTGAGGTGAGGATCTTCTATTTATGCTGCCAATTCTTCAGACAGGAATTAAGTATATTTTTATTATCAATCAATAAATTTGACTTTATGAAGTTCACATAACCGCCTGAGACGGACACGGAAGGACGATATTCGAAAATACGCCAGCTGTTGAGTCTTCGGCAACGTGCTTTTGTTAGCTGTTTTGCAGTGTAAAATACTGGGTTGCAGGGTATGCGAAAAAACACTGTGGTCACATGATATATCGGAAGGCAAATACACGAAAGGGGCAGAAGTAAGGAGATGACACGCAATTTTTTTCTAAATAATCCCTTACACAACGCTTTACTGCAAAAAGAGATGCATAGAAATGCAGAAAATGATATTCCTAATTAAACATAGATTCCGCGCAGGGCAAACGAAGATTTTTAGAACCGTAATATAAATCACTTTTGAGGATCAGCTAGCCTCAGCTCGAAACGTCGCGAGATACTACCTCGGGAGGCTAATGTTATCTTAGGTTTTACGTGCACTTGTTTTGGGACCTTACCTCACGACTTTGTTCTTTATCAGTCATGTGCTCCAACATTTCATTAGACTGCCGTATATCATGGCGAGACTGCTATAAATACTACACAACTTTACACCTTGGACGTCTACTGCTGGTGTTGCGAACGTCGCACTTCACCAGAAAGCTGAAGTATTTAACATGGTTTGCACGTGACGTAGTCACACTCTGGTTGTCATTGCGAGTTGTTCTTGCTGAGAAAATCAAATCCGGTGGGGCAAAATGCACGCTGCAAAAGTTTCGCGCTCAGTGCAAGCTATGTATTTGAGAGGCACACATTTTTCTTTTTGGTGCATCGTCGTTAGGCACGGCGCGAGTATCTGGCACGACAAAAACGTGCTTTCTGGCAAGAGTGTTTTTACAAATAAAAGTGTTACCAACTACCCATCTGTCGCTATCGTTTCCAGGCCACGCTTTCTAGTCTGAACCGAAAATGCGGGCCAGAGGAATCTTTACGACACAGAATGCTTTAAAAATACCCCCCTCCCCACTCCCCTTTTTTTAGTTGCTCCTCAAGATACTTTTTATTCCTCAGGGATTGCCTGCTCCGTATTGAGTGTTGTTCACTCGACAATTATATTTGTGCCACTCGTTAACAGTAATTCTTCCTTGCTTTTACTTTGCACCATACTGTGAAGTTTAAACAAAATACAGGGCGGTCGAAACTTGGAGAACTTGAGAACGACACTCCTGTGAGACTTAGAGCGGCTGCCAACGTTCGGCTATCCCCGTGAGGCCACTAGGACCTTTCTTCTCAAGTATCCCTCCCGTACACACTAATAGTTCCATGTAACGTCGGACTAATACGTCACATTTAGACCCTTTAACACTTCTATTCTCGGGACAACTTTCTGATGCAGTTCAGCAATAACGAAAACATGTTTGGGAGCCTCAATGGTGTGCATACATGTAAAATGGGTCGTGCAGCATTTTTTTTTTTTACCTTAAGTTCAAAAAATACCGCTAAGATGCAATCCCTGACGTTGATATTTTGCAAAAGCATCCATTAGTTTGCCCCTCGGCGAAATGGCAGACAGTCGAAAGAAAGAAATGAAACAGCTTTCCCCTCCTCAACCCGCAATTAAAGCTATCAGCCACGTGATCTGATCCTAATATATACACCGTCAGTGTTTATCATAGTCGTACGCAGGGTTGGCAAAGCAGAGAGCATGGGCTGATCTACAGATATAGTTTTAGTAGGGCTATAATGCCCGAGCCCCACTAAAGTGACAAACAGAAACAAATGACAGCGGCTAGCCTTAAACCAGAGTATTTCGCGATTTGACAGGTTTTGTAGAATAAGGAAGGCTATTCTCAAACACGAGTATCATGCACACGATGGTACCATTTGCAGGCTTTAAACGCTCGTGCTAACTTCGCGAGCACCGAACAACTCAAAGCCGTATAGAGGTACCATCGCGAACATGCTGCATGTGTCTGAGGCTTATCGCTGTTGTTTGTTTCTGTTTCTAGCTCTAGTGGGACTCGGGCCCATCATAATCTTTGAGTTGAACACGAGCCGTTACCCGAATGTTCGGCGATGCTGGTTGTCATGAACCAGAGCATTCAGCTCGGGATCATGACAATAGGGTACATCATGGTGTCACGTTACTCTCAGTGCGAAGTTGTGATGTCATGTGACGTCACGGTATCAACAACGTTAATAGATCTAGCGACGTCCTCAATTTGAATCGACTTAACGCGGTGAGTCACGTGACGTCACGGGGTCACGTGATGTGACATTACTTGACAGCATGCCTTGACATCGTGACGTCACGTGACGATGTGACACATGGCTAATCATAGTGCCAATAAGAAAGCGCCGCAGAAAACCAGGATTTATTATACATTGCAATGCTGTATACGACGATTTGATCAATACGTAGAGGAATACACGTGCCAATTTTTTATTCCCAAATAATAAATTTGTAATACTAACAACAAAAAAATAACGTGAACCGTTTTGAACCGGTTACCGTTATTTTTTTTCCGGTTCAGTTCCGGTTCAGTTCTAAGATGGCGGCGAAGATTTCGGTTCGGTTCAGTTCCGGTTCGGCTAAAAATAACGGTTCTGTTCCGGTTTTCGGTTCGGTTCGGTTCCGGTTCGACACCCTGGCTGATGCATCGATGCAGCCGTCGCCGTGGTTTACCATTTCGTGGTTTCGTCAGTTTCGTTTTGTTTAGTTTCTGATGGTCGGTGTTGTGATGACGTAGTGACGAAGTCATCTGTCGCCGTGTCGCACGTCTAAGAAGTTTCGGTAAGCACTTGAGATGTCTCATAGCGAGTTCGTTTCACGGCACTCGTGCCCACGCGTGCCCACTCGCAGCGTGGAACGGGTTCGTTTCGGCCGGCACTCCACGAGTGGTTGCACTCCCCGAGTTCGTTTCAGCGCTGACACCCCACGCGTGCGTGCACTCGCTGCACCGAGAAAATCGGGAGTGCGCCAAAATGCAATCCCGTCATGCCTCGCTCCGGCGGGGCCGGCGAGGAGCGGGAGCAGACGACGAGGGTTCGTCTGCTACGATGTGTCGCGGAACCGAACGGAAAAAAAGTAGATTTTCTGATAGAAATCGCGTCCCGCGGGCCACGAAATCAAACGCGAGCTTGAATTGTGAGCGTCTGCTATTTCCCGAAGAAAGCAATTGACAACCCGTGATTTATTTGCAGGTTTTAAATCGCTCTGTTGCCGTACAAACGCTGAAATATACCAGTGTGTAAAGGAATGCTCAGAACAAACGTAACAGCGGCCCCCGAGATATCTATCACCATCCGTGTGCGGGGGAAAAATTTAACATTTGTCGACAAAGCTCCCCCAGCAGAAACGTCCGACTGCTCAATAAGCATCAGAGAAAGCTAAAGATGGTAACTTTACCCGAGGATTGGGCAACATCATCATGTTTAACATTTACCTACGTCAGCTAACTTGCCCCGTCGTATTTTGTTCGAGAATGTTCTCTTTCTCGACGCCCTCACCAAGGCTAATATCTGATCCACCTATAATGACGATCCAAATAGAAAGTCCCAGTTTTGCTGGATATTCCAACAGGCTATTTTTAAGCCGCACCCTTTCAGCGGTTCACGCATAATACCATGTTCAAACGGATCATGCTTGTGCTCGGACAGCATCATCAGTTTTCTTCAATGTAAACGGTTATAAGAATTGAAAGATCGCAACCAGCTGCTTTGTAGACAGCTGGTTGCGGAAATTTACGCCGTCTGTAACTATCTCTACGGCAGCCGAGCTGCTTGAAGTCATCGCAACTATAAACTACAGGTTGCAGCGACCAACGTTTCTAGATAAACGTTGGTAGCGACTGCATTCTCGCATTCCCACGCATCACTCCGATCAGAAAGGCGCTAGTTTCGGTTTAAAGTCGGTACCTTTTCTACAACATAGATGGCGGCAGAATCAGTCTTCTGCACTCGGTGCATTTGGCGAGTTCGTTTGAGTCCAGTTTTCCGTGCAACACTCTGAGAGTGCGATGCATTCTGGGAGAGAACTCGAACGGTGCCAGTGCGTGTGAAACGAACTCGCTATTATTCAGCGTGTGAGTGTGCTTGACTGGTTCGACAGTTGGTCCTCTCGGACGTGGCACTCCCGGTGGCGATGTTCTGCAGCCCTCGCACGCCATTTCGGCACGCGTTCCACTGAAAATATTGTCTACAACAAAGGCGAGGCGGATATCCCTCTATCCTGCTTGCACGTAACAAATCAGTGCGTACACTATAGGTAACTCTGAGAGTTGGGCACGCTTTTTGCGCCTCCACGCCTCCACTATACCGTGCGAGTTCGTCTTCGTGTGTGGTTGCGAAGTCTCGCTTGGCATGTGGCTTCCGCACTCTCTTTAACCGGGTTTTCTAAGTTCGTTGTTTTGTATAGATATTATATTTTTTGTTTGTGCATAACGAGTGGGTCATCTACAAAACGATCGAAATGTTCCATCAAATGTCGTGAAACGAAAACATTGCCTCCTTCGTGTTTCTTGACCGGTACGTGCGAACGTACGACTATATATAAGGTTCTGACACACCGAGCAAAAAATTCTCATATTGCAGTCTTCACCGAGGTTGTATGAGATATAAGAAATTTTCGACAGCAAATGTCGTCCAATCAACTGCAAATTTTATGACACGAGATTCAGCTTCTTTGTATATTTAAAACACCTGAAATAAATAACAAAGATCAACGGTGACGCATTCTGTAACGTATATATAGCTCAACCGAGCAAACGTTACGTGCGGCCTGATAGCTGTTGTTGTGCTTTGAGAAGCTTCTCTTTTTTTTTCTATTCCCCATCACATAAAAGGTAATAAAAACTGCAATTGACTGCATGACATTCTTATTCGGAAAGTGCGTGTTCAACAGCGACGTCGTATGCAAGCAAGATTATCTATTTTTGACCTCCACTTCCGGTCCCTTTCCTGTCCATTTTCCGAAAGTCCAAAGTTATAAGTTTAAGACGTCAGAATAATAATAAAACAGACATTTTAACGGGGACGTCAAAATGTGTTCACGCCTTCAGGAGGTGGTGTCAAGGACGTCCAAATAATTCTTAAAATTATTTCGAACTTGGACGTCGAAAAAGTCACCGCCTGCATCGCTAAACATTGACCCCGTACGTGAAGACGTCCCAACATGGCGCTGTGCTCCAAACAAAACGTTGCTAGGGCCGTTGCTACGGACAAATGCAAGGGTGCTCGACGCGAGATTAGAATTTGTATAATAACAATAGGTGAATCATATGTTGTGTTTTTTATATCAAACCATGAACACTTTTGCTATCGTTTCAGTGCCGTATTGTGACCATAAAAGCAGGTAATCAAGTTTTACTACAGTTATTTTCTTCGCTGTTGACAACTAGATGACTTAACATCATTTGAGAGAAAACATATAACATTTCCGTGGGCCCACTGGGTTTCTTTTTCCCTGCTGGAGCCCACGACTGCGTTGCATTGAGTTGGTGAGAAACAAGAAAACTTCTATTCTCGGGGACAGCTTTCCGCAGTATTTGGGAAGTGCGCTAGTGCGTAGAGCCGTGCCAGAAGGGCTTTGAGGGGGGGGGGGGGGGGGGGGGGGGGGGGAGGTGAAAACAGGGTGTCATCACGTAATTATGATAAGTGGCAATGACGACGTGAAAAGTGTATCTACGTTGACGTGCAAGTATAGGGTGGTGCAGGCCAGCGGTCGTTTCTAATAGCTGTGACGACACAGGATGCAGTTGCTCCAGTGCACACTCGTCTGGTCTAGCGATCTCTCAGCAACAACTAAACTTACCTGATGTTTTTACCTGATTCATTATGGTCGCTATTTTGGGTCTCGCTGATATCGTAAGGACCAATAATTTTTGTGTTCTCACTGTGATGGTGCGCCAAGCAGGTAAGAAACACACTTCCATATCGCGAGCCTGCAAACACAATTTTCGTTCCCACACCGATCGTCTCAAAGACAAGTTAATTGCCTCTTCGTTGCGGTGCACGTCAATCTGCAAAATCAAAAGGAGAGTCTGACGCTCTTGCCGACGCAGTACCTTACAATTTTGCAGGGGATCTCCACACGCGTGATGATTTTCGCCAGACAGAATCCCGTATCGCCCTCAAATACAATTAGCTTTCATCCCTCTGATTAGTTTTGTTAGACCTGCCGTATTCCTAATACACACCGATCGAAATCGTATTATAATCCGAATGACTCTAGCTGTTGCAGACGACGTACTTGAGTCACTCCTTGCGCATTCGTCACGTGTTCGTCGTCTGCGGCAGGCATCTCGGGACGTCTCGAAGACCGGAAGTTGTCGGCCAACATTTTTCAGAAACAGAGGATTCTCGGCTCTGTCGTGGTAAGTGTGACACCCAGCGCTTCCTATATCTATTCTTTTAATGCGAAAGCATTAACTGTCTCATGAAGCGAGCTGACGTCATCAGTCTGAAAAGCGAAAGCGGCACCTAGTTTCCTTCGGTTCCATTGGCTGGCAGGCGTCAACGGGGCTCCCATTGGCCGCTGCGCTCGTCAGTTTCCACGACCGCACACCCCATGGCGCTGCGTGTCCATCAGCGCGGTGCGTCCAAGGTCACCAGGGGAGCACACGCGCTGACCGGCGACGAAAGTACGCGCAGCAGACGAAATAAGGGAGTGGACGAGCGGCTTGCATGCTTTCGCATTCACAACTCATAAGAAGGGCTTAGGTGTAACTCGAGTTTATTTAAGCGTTTAAATCCCACGTTTGATTTTCAAACCAACATTCTTTCGGAGCGAAATCCAATGATGTATTCGTCCATAGCAACGCCCCTAGCAACGGCCTGGTTGGAGCAGTGACGTCACGCTAACGGGGTCAATTGACATGCTGACCAAACCTGGGAAAAGGTAAGAATCTGAAGCCGCACTCCTATTGACCATACGTCATAAGAGTTCCTCAGAGAATGTCTGCAAACTGTTTTTGTAAGGGACAAACAGAAACATGAAGCTGCATGTGTGTGCTTGTGCTCTCTGCTTCTCCTTTCTAGGATTAAAATGAGTTTCATATTCTTTTATTATTATTGTTAAAGTGACTCGTTAGATTATCAAACAAAAGCAGACGATTGACAGAGGTCGATATTGTATTTTTGATGGCTAACAACAACCTAACGTTTCTAAACGCACGACGACTATCGACGATGTGAAGTGAAGATTTGGACGGGTTCGGGTGTATACCTTTCGGTTGTACTCTGGCATCTCAGAGAGCAGGACAAACATGACCATGGTTCCCTGCGAGTGGCCGACGTAGAAGAGCTGGGGCATGCCGGTCTCTTTCAGCACGAAGTCCACCATGGCGGGTATGTCGTATATTCCCTGCTCGTGGAAGCTGCGACGGCGAACAGTAAGAAAAAGCGCTCGCGCAACACCTCCTAGAAGGCCTGCTTCCTTCCTCCCCCAAACGTCATCGCTTGTGGGCCAACCCGAAATTTGCGTTAGCACCTCCGCTAGCGCGTCTCTCAGCTTCTGACATGCTCCTGGACGAGTAACCACCAGCGAAACGAGATGGTTCGCCATTTTCGATCTCATTATCCATGGGCAGCCTATAGGAAATTGCACAATCAGTCACCTCGTACGAAAAATGAAGAACAAATCGAAGGGATGGCAAACGCTGCGCAGTAACAAGCCATAAAACGGTTGTTCCTGTTCAGAGGTGAAATATTCATCCCAGATCCCGTATACGTTTAAACTGCCCTGATATAGTCGGCCAAATCCTCCCTGTACACTCGCGAAAGAAATTAAAAGAAAGACAAATTAAGATACTGCTTTGAGGGGTTAAACAAACAAGAAATATTATCACGTGAGCGGACCGGATTATGGAAACCAAGAAATCACGTAGCAGTACCTTGGCGCTTTTTGAGGCTTGAGTTGGCTGCGAAGAGTATATAATAGGCTGTTCCTAACCATGTGTACGCCGAACCAAGAAGTTGTTTCGAACATTTTTTTTCTTTAGTTCTTATATATTTCGTCACATGTACCTTCCAGTTCGATATCTAGAGGTTACACCTGAAGCGCGAAGGCTCGTTATAAGCTGGTGGGAAGGACGTGAAACGAGAGTTAAAAACTGGAAGAGTCATATATAGTTCCCGCCGACGTGTTAGCCTCAGTTACTCTGCTCGTACCCCGTACAAAATACGTGGCGTTCGTTACAGACGCCATGACAGAATTGTGTCTGCAGACTGTTTTTTTTTGTACGATGTATTAGCATGTATGAACGCGGTATAGTAGATCGTTCCGATAGCTTCGATAGTGATACCCTCTGCGCATGATTTTATATTTGGTATTGGGTGACACTATCGGAGCGCCAAAACGATCTACTCTCGCGACCGGTTATAACAAAGTCGGTTATAACGAAATTGCGGCTACAGCGAAGCCATCACGATTTTTTATTCCCTTTTTGCACTTTTTTCAATGCAGTTGTGTCTGTTTTTAGCGAAGGAAATTGAGCGGCTCCCGCAGATATAGCGAAAACAAATTTTGCGATAATTAAAAAAAAAAAAAAAAGAATAAAATTCGAAAATTTGTTTAAGTCTCGGCCGCGGCCAAGAAGCCACTCAGAACAGGCAGCAGAAGATGCTGGAAGGGCCGCCGGCGGCAGTCTCTGTAACGTCGTCTGCTTCCCGCTCCTTATCTGGGAAGCCGCTTTACGGCATTACCGCATCGCACGGGCAGAAGCCCTCGTCGCATGCCGATAGGAGCGCCAGCGACAACGTGGCCAGTGTATCGAGGAATTTGGGCGGAGAGACGGACACGTTTGCAAAAGGTGAACGCTTTTGAGTTTTGGCTCCTTAAAGGGCAACTCCACTCCATTTTCACAACTTTTGGTTTATGATCTGTTTAGTCGAAGCCGGCGACCCTGAATCACGATATATAATTTGTTTTTCGGTAGTGTGTATGGTTTTGTTTATATCGCGAATCCAAGAATCGTTCCGGCGGCACGGCAAAACCGAAACTACCGGCTGAAGCAGCTTGGCAACACTGATACTAGTGGCGCGTCGTCGGCATGACCTAGTTCTCGTCCCGCGCTTCTGAGCCGACACGCCGACGCACCGACAATATTGGCTCAGTCGCACGTGGAGTTTCAAAACAGAAGGTTACATGCACGTTTTCTTTTTTTACCGCTTCACTTTGTTAATATGCACCAAATGTAGTAAGTTTTAATGTGTATTTATAAATTCGCCGGCTGAAAAGCGAATCCGACTGCTATAAATATGACGCGGTCGGTGCCGGCGCAGCGTGACTGTATTTGTTTTTTGCTCATGGACCGAGAGAAGACGAAATAATGGGAGATAGATGGACAGATGTATCCACAAGTGGGCTAAGTTGTTAAAGCCAAGGTGCCTTTATGTGCACGCTAGTTAGATCAGCCGCGACTTGCTGCGTCCGGCCGATCGTGCTGGAGCAGCGGGCGGATGGTACGCGAACAGCGACGGCACCGCATCGTTCTTCAAAGACGCATGTTTCGTGGAGAAACTCGCAACAGTCAGCAGCCGCAGATCCCGTGTGTAGGCGTCGGACGTAAAGTGCTGGGAGCAGAGCTTCGCGTTGGAGCTCGGAGTCAACGGTCTTCCGAAGTCTATCCGGCGAACGGCACCGACCCATACCTTGTGCCTCTTCCGGTCTCTTGTGAACTGGTGGAACCGCAGCTCCGGGTTGCGCACCGGCTTGTTGATGCAACCCACAGCATTACAAGTCGTGCTCGACATTGCCCAACGCGAGTCCAGCGAGTCTCTCCGGCTCCACGACGCGCGCGTGAGCGAGCAGCACCGCTTTGCTCTCTTCCGTTCTGTCGCGGAAGCAATGCTGGACGCTAATAAAAATAGGGGAACACAGGATAATGTGGTAAACACGCCGTGCCGTCAGCAGAATCGCAGAATGCCACGGGAAACGAAGCGTTCGCGGCGACCGTACGAGAGCGTAGGACTAGAACTACGTCATTGCCCAGTGTTGCTTCACTAGCTCACCCGGTGCCAGCGTTGCTCACCCGCTTTCGGGCCGCTAACCGAGCCGGGAGAACATTTTTAATATTGGTTTTAATCGGTAACGCGGCGTCGGTTTGACGTAATATTTTGGGTATGACCGTATTTTGACCTCCTAAAGCGATATCAGTCATTTCGATAGGGTCGACTTTTTGAGTGGAGTTGCCCTTGCAGCTCGTTTTGCAAACGCGGCCCACAAACCACTTGACCCCCCAAGCAAGCAGTTACCCCATCTCTTAATTCTAGGCTCTCTATACCGACGACAGACAAGCTTGAGCGCAAACTCGGCGCTTCGTGATCCGCGTCTGCGTTTGGTCGGCGAGGTCGCTCTTGCGCGGAAGTCTGCTTCGCTTAAACACCGGTTCGGCGAATCATCGCCATTCAACGCCCGGCACCGCCGGCACCTCAACGGGGAAGACGAAGGCAGTGTCCTTGAATCAGAAGCGTGCCATCCGTCGCAGCCGTCGACGCGGTCCGTACGTAGCGGGATCTTTTTTTCGATCGGAGCCTCTCGCAGTTGGCGTGAAGCGGCTCCGATCTGACAGAGGACGCGTGCAGGGAAGCCTCGACCGTTTTCTGCGGACATGCGCCCTTGAGTCGTGACAACCCGTGTTACCTTTTTTTCCCATGTTATTTGTACGAGTTCATATACAATGAAGAAGCGGATATAGCGAAGCGATTTCCAATTCCCGTTGACTTTGTTATACCCGTCTCGACGGTATTAAAAGTCTTTATTAAGAGACAGAGTGTGTTTGGGGTTACAGGTTGTAACCATTGGTTTACCTAAACTGCCAGAACTTTGACCTTCCGTGGATAGACAGCGTCCTGTGCTGTCTTGAGTACGTGTTACCACGGACGTTCCCCAGCCAGACGTCGAAACCGTGGTCAGCCAAGATGAAGCCTGCACAAACTCATCGCGGCTCAGTAAAACGAGCCTCGTCAAAAAAGCGCGAGTGGTGCAACAGTTCATTGTACTTTTAGTAACCATCGTTAAGAATTGCTGATCCTTGACGTTCGTAGAACCTACTAAACACGCGTTAGATTGGTTTATTGTTTTTCTTTTCTCTCCACGCAATCGGAAATATACAAAAAAGAAATTTAAGAAATGCAACTAGAGTTTCCCCTTACCTCCTTTCGCTGGTAACCGAAACAAATGACCATGTGATGAATAGTCACTGATGTAATAAGAACGGCAAGGAGGTATTTCAGTCTTCCCGCCTTGAGCGCGAGCTTAACACTAAGGTGTGTCGTGGGCCTCGATCGTGCACGTGCAGCCAAAGCACGACTGAAGGCCATTCGGGCACGCGCTGGACATCCCAAAAAGACGCCCAATTACGTTCTCATCCTGGCAGTCCCTACAGTGCTGATTAGAGGATGCTAATCATCCTCTAATCGATTGGCGTAGCACACAAGGGTACATGCCGAATTCTAGGCATCGTTAGGGTTTGGCAGGTTTGGCTATTGCCGTCGTTGGAGCGTTTGGACATATACGCCACTGTCCGATTGCTTTCCGAGGCATTAATTGTGACAAACCCGATTCACAGAACTGCTCACGCAATGCTCGCGGTCGATCTACGAGCCGCACATTTGACTATCGTCATCGTGGGTAAATGTCCGTGACTGCGTCAACACCGCGGTTCCTATGATTTCGTCATTAAATTTTACAGTAGAGGAGGTACCATTAAATTGTCCACGATTGCGACAAAAGGATTCTCGGTTAGTGCCGATACGAGCGGGTATGCCTGGATGGGTCACAATGAGCTCGTGAAGAACGATACCTCTGCCCCACGTGCGTTTAATGTAATGTACACATCGAATGTCATTAAATGATCGGCGAATCAGCCCAGCCGAAGCCAAGGAGAGCAACGTAGTGCAAGTTTCAGAATAGAAGGGTGTTATACAACGCGTGCTTTGCCATAATTGCGCCTGGGAGTGAACGCACCCTAAAAAGTCCCAGGTCAACAGCCTCATTCCACTCGCTAAATTACCCGTTACAATGAATGCATAAGCGTCACAGAATTTGAGGAAAGCCTACAGGCCTTGGGAACAGTCTAGAGGGTTTTTCGCGCGACACAAGGGACAATCACAAGCGAGTAGACACGGACAAGCGCTTGTGATTGTCCCTTGTGTCGCGCAAAAAACCCTTTTGACTGCATCATGAACCAACTAGGCCAACAACAAGTTTTAATAGGCCTAGGGAACGTTTAGACAACTCTTTGTCTCTTTCGAACTGTTCTCATTTTCATTGGAGCAGACCGCAATACCAGGAGTTGTTCGATAGTTCATCTCTTATGAACTGGGTGCAGGGAGCGGACTGCCGACGGCGGGCATGAGACCGGAGTCACGAGGCCTACCTAGGCTGTCCTTGGGGTAGTTGATGACCCAGTCCGCCGCAGAACACAGCAGGCCGTGAACGACGAGCACCGGCGGCTTGCCTCCGCTGACACGGGGCTGATCTCTGCCCCAGGGAATTCTCTGGAGCCCTAAAATGTAGCCGTCTTTCGTGGTGATGGAGTACTCCTTGACCGGGTAGCCTTTGGACGCGATCAGCTGGCTCTTCGGAGGAAAAAAAAAATTAGCAACTTGGCAATCTTTCTTCTTCCTTTTTTTTTTTAAGAGAGAGAGAGAGGGGGGAGGGTGGACAACGATGACAGCTGCTCTCAAGAGTATTGTACAACGTTGTCAAGAAGCATGAGATTACGCGCATCACTTAAAGAGAAATTCAAGCGGTTCTGTATTTGATAAAAAAAAAACACTCAAATCGTCTTCATTTGGCCGCCAGGATCACGAATATCGAGATTATTTTTCAATTTGGTATACACGGAGGCTGCAGAAAATAATTTTTAAATTACCGTTGAAGCTTCTCTTTCCCGGGGCGTGGCGTCATATATGGAGATTTCGGAATCTCTGCTCTCGCGCATCTTCGGCGCCTATTAAAGCTATTTTACGCGCACTCTTGCTATTTTCAGAAACGTCAGGAAAAGACGTCAAAACTTGGTTAACAGAATTCGTAAAAATGAAGTTCAGACTGTTATTTAACTGCTTTCTAGCAAACTAATTGAAGCTACAGGTTCCCTAGCGTCGAAACCAGAAAAAAAAAAAAAGCTAAGATATTAAGTTCTCAAAATTAAAATTAACTGCAGAACTAAAGACTAGAAGATTCTGAGTGTCTGATCTTACATCACTGTGACGTAATAGGTACAAACTTAGTATGTAGATAAGAGATCGGTGCTAAGGCATCCAGGTGTCTACAAGAAATTCCTGTACACCGTATTTTCAAATTGAGATTCGTTAGGCCGGGGTCCTAGTGGCTAGCACATCATGTAAAAGACAGACTACAGAGATCGCCTTGGGCGTGGCTCTTCCCTGTACGACGATCCCGTCAGATTGGTACAAAAACCTGTCTCCGACGAAGCGTACAAACTTCAAACGCGTCCGCAGGTTTTTCCCTCATCATGTCCTCACCTAACACGATGTCTTTTTCTTCTTTTATCATTAAGTGCGAGCAATGTGACCGCGTCTTTAACGATAGTTAGTGAGTGTCCTTAATTGTATAGTACAAGACTGACCACATTCCTTAAGCAGTCGGGGTCCCTCGAAGCCAAGAGAGCAAGGCATTCGTCCCAGAGGTTTCCCAGCATCAGGAGCAGTACAGTCACCAAGAACGGCATCCCTCGGACCAGTCCAGCCATAATGTATGTCGGGCACGCCGAAACGATTGGATAAAATCCGCTGTTAAGAGTGCACCAGTGGTAAGAACAACAAAAGCACCCCCAAAAGTTCTCCCTCCACGGAAACGCTATCTCACAGAGTCGCCGGCCGAGATCGGAAAAGGTGCATCTACGGCACTGACGGCCACGTTGCCTCGCGACAAACTTTAGCTAAACCATGCAGTCAGGGTCAGTCTCAAGCCGAGCACAGGAGCATCGGCGTTTGAAGTCATTCCACAAAGTGGCCTAAAGCCCCGTACATCGTACAAAAAACGTTCGCTCCAGACACGAGGACAAAAGACCTTGCTGACACGCTTGACATGTTTGCTTCATACATGCTTTGAACATGTCTGCAGACGGTGAATCAACGGGCTTTTAACGTCCTAAAACAGATAGAGTTTAGTTTAGAGTCATGGGGCCCCCCTGTGGGAGAGAAAGACGCTGGCCCAGCCCCGGGTGCACAAGAGGGAAACACTCAACTGCTAAACCCGTCTAAAAAAAAAAAAGAATTTAGTTGTTGTTTTGCTGTTTTTTATTGTTGTTTTTTGTTTTTTGCTGGTGAGCAGCGCTGCGTGGTTCACGTTAGTTAAAGACCCCAGATTAGCGGTGTTACTGCACTGGCTCAATTTCTCATCTACAGGTAAGAAACAGGTCACCCGTTGAGGCGTACTAGCATCGAGGTTGTCGAAACATATAAGCAGTACAGTTTTCTTTTCCACGTAGACGTCGGCACGACGTAACACTGGCTTGCGGTAATGAGGGTCTATCAGGGGCTTCTGGCGTATTCTTAAAGGGGCCGTGCAATAATATTGGCTATAGGAATGCTTCCCACTTTAGAGAAGCCCGCAGGCACGTGGGATCGAAGTACACTCGCACGCAACTCCGCAGTACAACAAGTTTCTTTGTCGCCGCGTTATTTCGAGGATAAAAACGTACGTTTTCTTTCAGTCTCTCCGCATAACAGTTGACCAAGTAGCAGGAACCGCTTCGTTGGCGTTGTCCACAATCCGATCCCCACAGCTTCGTCATGAAGTCTTGCCATCCCCGCCGTGTCGATGTTTAAATGTGGAAAAGAGCACAGCGTGAGCATTTCGTTTGAGCTCGTGACGCTCAATGCCTCCACATATGCAATCGGGGACGCGGCTCCGGCACAATCGCTGCGATCACGTGAATAGCCGAACCTTAACAATCTGCGCAACTCAGCGCTCGTCCCGTGCTTTGCCAACTCCACAGCGTGGCAATTCTAAACATTAGTAAGCTTTTATATTTTGTTTTTAAAGCGGAGCTGTTAAATGCTGGGTTCCCCAGGATCGTGTCCGTGTATGTCGACACAAACCTACCTGGACAGCTAGCGCCATCTATAAGCGACGGCGGCAAGTAGACAACCAGTACGGTTTCCGCCGTCGCTCGTAGATGGCGGTAGCTGTCCAGGTATAATAGAAGAATGGATAGTTGGGCGCGTTCGTATGATCTCTATGGGCGCGTTGGTGGGAATTCACCTTAGGAAACAGCGCGAAAAACAGACGACGAAGAAGAAGCACACAGTGTATCGAGTACAGCTCCGCTGGTCTTCCTTCTTCACGAGAGTGGAAAGGCTGAACGATCTTTGGTATTGCGTATTCGAGCGAACGCAAACACTGTGCGTTAGCGTTGCGTGTTCCCCACTGCTCGTGCGCGGAGCGGAAACTGCGGTCTCGGATTTGCGCGTAGTGACGACGGGCACGAGCAGCCTGGACTAGCACGCAAATATAACGCGCGGCGCTTGCGTTTGCTTTTGTACGCATTACTGATACTCACAATTGGCGGCACATATAATTGGCTACAGATCACGTGGTCGCTTGCACCAGCGACGAGTTGAAGCGGCAAACGCCGCTTGTTTTTCTTCGATTTTTGTTTTGTTTTTTAAGAATGACATCAAGAAATAGTTTTAAGCGGTATTTATTGAAAGTACAAAAATAGTTGCAGAGCCAGTAACTTGTATGTGACTATATATATATATATTTATATATAATGCAAACACCGTCTTTCTTTTCCTCAAAGTTTGTTCAAACCTAAAATACCTAAAATAATCTGGAATAGTATTAAAAAACAAATCATCTATCTGCCAGTTAACTGGATCAAATAATTGACTCGAATAGACTGCATAAGGCTCGTCTTGCAATCCATATGACCCTAAGCCCGTCTCGTACTCACCTGTCGAATTCCCCTTTCAGCGAGAGTCGGCAGCTGCAGCCTAACCGCACTCCCACTTGCAGACGACCTCAACGTATCTGTTTAAAGACCGCGTCACGAAATCCATCACACAGAAACACTAGAAAAACGACGTTGCCAACTCGGCGTGGTGTCTTCGTTGTCTTGTCCCCCTCATGTCTGTGTTTCTGCGCCATTTTTGTGTCCATGGCTCAGCGTAAGGCGTCTCCACGTGGGCTTTGCTTAGTGAAGTCCGCGGTGTAAGATACACAGCAATACACAGATACTGCAACCGTCGAGTTACGTCAAGTTTTGCGAAGGAAAGATTGAACGAAAACGCTCGCTTTTGTCCTTGAAATGATACCGCAACAAACGAGTAAAAAAAAAAAAACCCATACCATTTGAATATTGTTGCACCGCCCCTTTAAATTTTGATGACAAAATGATGCTTTGTCGACTCTGAAGAAATAGTGGGAGGGGTATTTTACTGTCACCATGAAACGCGAGCAGATGACGCGGGCAGCTTTCCCGCAGAATTTTAAACTCTCGCTACTTCTCGTTCGGTCAGCGCAAGCAAGAAGCATGAAAATATTAGGCAAGCCTCCACGAAAGGATTGCTTGCGGAAGTTCAGGGTGACATCATGCTCTCTTATGCTTTCTGTATAATGAAAGATTCTATTAAGAGAAGTACTTTAGTTTGAAACGACATCGCATTTACGGTACTTTAAATCAAGTACGTTTCACCCGCTGTACCTACTACTTTACTTCAAGTACATAACGTCTCATTTACTTGGTACTTGAATCACGTTTTAGGTGTACTTTACCCAACCCTAGAACAATATTACTAGAATAGTGATAAAAAAAAAATATAGTGCATCAATGTAGCTCCCTCCGTCAGATATCCCCAGTTATTGACTCTAATTGAATCTTTAAAACGCGCAACCTTGAATCTGACTCGCACTCACCTATCGATGTCCCCGTTCAGAGGGAGTTCGCAGCTGCAGCACCGCTTCACTTCCACTTGCCGACGGCCAGAAAAAAACATATTTATTTGCGTCGTGGAATCCATCACGCGGAACAACTATGGCCCACTTTGCTATATGTTTATTTTCTTGTTCCGATATCTAAGCCGCAGTCGAACTGCTCGCACGTCGTATATGTGCATGGAGCGCAAGTTCGTCTGCTTCTGTTGCAGGAGTTGTAATGACGTCAGAACGCCGAGCTCTGAGTGGTTCTGAATGAAGGATAGTGGGTAGACCTCAAAGTAGGTTGCCTTGAGGTCTACCTACTATTCTTCGATCAGAGCCAATCAGAACTTGGGGTTCTGACGTCACAACAGCTCGTGCAAAGGAAGCAGACGAACTCGCGCTCCATGTAGGAAAGGCACTGCGTTCTCCGCAGACATGACGGCAGAATTACCCGCGGAGACGCGGCTCGAGCGTAGGTTCCAAGCAGGTATGCTTTATATACATTCGTGTGCGCTTCGAACATGTTTGCACACGCTTTTTGTATGAAATGTGAAAGAAGCACACTTACGAGGAAGAAACACGCATCAGACAGCGTCTGCAGCAGAGTGTCTTTTGTCCGATATATTTGCAGTGTGGCCACGGCTTAAACCACCAGAGCGATGGTATTTTTCTAACGTTGCTCTATACCCTTATGGCTACCTCCCTGCCGGGAGCCGTGGTGTAGGAGAACGCGCAAGATAACTATTGCCATCATTGTTATTATTTTTTTTTTGGGGGGGGGGGGGAAGGGGGGGGCGCAGTACGAGTATGGTAGGCGAAAACGCTTTCTTTGCGGTATTTTCAAGGTGAAATGCACGCACCATCTATAAAAAAAACAATCGTTTATAAAACTGTAAAAAAAATAGGTTTTTCGATTTAAAAAATATAAAGAATGATGCGCGAAGAAATAAGAAACACGGACATGCCAAAGTGTCCCACGGCTCCGCGACATTTTGTGGTCTCTCGTTGTAAGGGAGTTTACGGAGTGTTAAGACACACGGTCGTCAGAGTCTGAAGTGTGTGAATCAGCTATGTGGTTGTGTCCATCGGATGCCGATTTTAGCAACCTCGTTACACCATGAAACGAATGAAGAGAAGTGAAGAGAAGCAAGAGAAAGAGACTCAGAGAGAAAAAGGGAGAGAGGAAAAGGGGAAACGAAGCATCCTAGTCCTCGTGTACGTGCGGACGTATACCTGCGCTCCGTACAAGTTTGCTGTGGCACTTTGGTAATGCCAAGAAACCTGCAGCCATTCTTTCAACATAGTACATTTTGTTCCCGTAATAACTCGAGTTAGAGGCGTTCCTATATTTTTTTTTATTGACGTGCGTGAAGGAAAAAAAATCACATAAAATTGCTAGATAAACGTAACGAATAAGTTATGTCGAAGCCGGTTGCCCCGTGAAGCAACGCGCGATAGAGCTGACTTTGGGCACAGGAGCTGGCGATGGGACGTCGTCCGCGGAGAGAAGGCGGGCCTTGGCGGCCATGGCTGCACAGCAGCAAGGCACGGCAGGTCTCATCTGCAATACAAATGCGATACTACATTAGTTCCTTTTGTCACGAAATTACGCTTAGAGTATTTGTGAGGAGAGATCAATACTGATACTGAACAATTTTCAGAGTAGTGGAACCAAACCGAATCCTGTCGTCCTTTTGGCGACCGGAGTAGAACAACATAATGTTGATCTTTCGGAATGCGCGTATCAATATTCCGTAGCCGAAGCTGAAATACGATGCAGCCAGTTGAGAGCATAGAGATCTTGCGAACCAGCATTTTGTCTCTCCTTGCTAAAAGAGGTTCCGCCTGCTTCGATTTTCTCTCGGTTTCGACAGACATGTTGGCCGACTCGGTCGGTGCTTGGGGCAAAACTAAACCGCGGTCACACGATTCCGTCAGCTGGAACTTTTAACGCCGAATACGTTAGTTCGTGACTGGGGAAACTCGATGAAATCGTAGGACGCAAAAGTGTCACGGAAACGAAGTCATAAGTCGCGTGACTATACTTTCTTTCACCTTAGCTCCGAGCGCGACAGATGTTACGAGCCCAAGGGCCAACGAAACAGCGCAAAAAGCGCAACGTCATGAGTGCCCTCTGCGCTCGATGGAACGACCCGGCGGAGGAACACGTACAGAAAGACTGCATGCGAACACCGGCTGGTTTTATCAGCTGCTGAGAGCACGCCATGATGTCGTGGCCTTTTCGCTGTTTGACCGTCCCTTCGACTCATAACATCGGCCAAGCTTGGACCTAAGGCGAAGGGAAGTAAAGTGACTTCATTCATAACGTGACGCAATTGGCGACGGTGATAGTGTTGACTAGAGTGTTGACTTGTACTCCGACGTTGAGCGGAGCGAACGCGGCGTAGCACAGAACGCGCGCCTTTGAATGGCCGGCGAGCAGGAACTCGATATCTGCGACCAATCAGAATCTGCGTGAGCTGCGCTACGCAGTGTTTGTTACTCTCGATGTCGGAGTATAACGGAGCACGATGGGGAAAACAGTTCAGAAAACGCGGAACACGAAGAGGAACATACACAAGAGGTATGTTTCACTTTGTGGCCCGCGTTTTCTGAGCTGTTTTCCCCATTATGTATAACGTCAACCAACTGGTTCAGTTCACCACCTTATTACAGTATAACGGAGCCTTTACTAAATGAATCGACGGCCGACATGTGACGACGTTTTAATAAATGGATTAGGCTTATTACGAATTGGTTATACATACAGCCTCGATCATCTCCTCTCCCGTAGCTCTCCTTCCCATTCTCTTTTGTCACGCGTGGAACACGACGTTGGAGCCAAAAGTTCATAGAGCGCGCCGATTGGAGGTCGGCAAAAAAGCGCCAAGTCATGGTTGTGATAAGCCAATCACTGCGCTCCGTCAACTAGGGCGCTAACTTTGTGTTTGACGAGTTCAGAGGGCCTGGACACGTTACCACAGAGGAAGTATATTTTATACCCGGTTTCACACAATTCGGACGGCAGCCAACGTCTGATGGATATAATGAAGCGGCGCCAAAATTGCCTCGTTGCTGCGCTCGTCCTCTTTGGGCATTCGCCATCTCCGGCCCCTCGATGTAACGCCCTCCAGACGGCCTTTAAGGGAAGACGATTAAAGGGACGACTGTATACCTTCCCGGACACGGCGGCAGGTAGCACTTGCGGAGTCTGGGCGGCTCGGGGCGCGGGCAGTTCGAGTCGTGGACTAGGGAGAACAAGGTCTGCGTCAGGGGCCGGAGGCAGGCCACCACGCGGCTCTGGTGAGACGGGGACCCGCACGAGCGAGAGCAGGGACTCCAGGGCTCCGTGTGCCACCTGGAGAGAAAGAGGTCCCAAAGGCACGATGAAGACGAATCGGTCAATGCAAATGGGAGCAACTTACCTGCCGGAGCAGGGTTCCGTATTGCAGGCTCCGACTCCCATTGCCATGGTGGGTCGGAGGGCAGGGTCGCAGAGGTCGTCGCTCACTCGGTTTCCGAGTACTTGGCAATGGACACTCGTGTTCCGAGTCCCTGCGTCGTCATACGGACACACGTTACCAAAGAGCGGGGCAACCCTGGCTTCACCAGTGGTCATCGCCCTACATCACCCTAGTGTCCCTACGGGGCTTCACTATAGTGTTTGATAGACCGACCTCAGCGAGCGTTCCACGCATGCATGACGCCGCCATGGTTGTATTTTCACATGGAGGCGGGCGAATGTGAACGGGTCAGTTCTTGCCGTTTCGTGTTCTATTCGTGCCGCCCCGCACCGGGGTTGTGGCACGTGCGGAAAGACTACAGTTACCATTAGAGCCACTTTATGAGCTACGTGCGCTCGGAGTATCGGCACCCTGTTCCCCGATATTCTTGGGGGCGCCGCCTTTCAGGTGCTTTGCAAAGCAGACGCAACTGCCGATTGTCATGATTCAAAAGTGCGACTTCCTCAGCATTAGATTCGGTGTTCGCTCATGTAATATTGCTTTGCTCTGTTGTGAACTGTTTAAACACTTGTAGAGGACGGAAAAGCGTTTTTTGTGATTTCAGATAAAGGTTCAGATAACTGGCAACCACAGTTTTAAGCATCAAGATGTGTAAGTGTCGTTACTCTGAAGCGTAGTGTATTTAGTGGCGCGAGTTGCCACGATGCATGCCGTCAGCGGCGGCGTAGCGAAACTGGCTGGTGAGATCGGTCTATTTGGCACCGCTTAACAGGGCAACTTTGGATGGATGAATGCTAACGGCTGTACCCTTTATAACGGGCGGTAGCCTGCGCCACCTAGGCTAGAAATTAAAAACCAAACCAACAACTTATGTTCCCAAGAAACATCCCAATTACAAGCGTAATTATGTGAAAAAATATACGTATTTGAATGCATCGCACTAACAGACATCGTACTACTTACAATTACTCCGGTGTCTGTCGTTGGTACGGTACCTTCTACAGAACCTGACAGGGCGGAACTGGCTGTCCAAAGCTAGCCATAGACGTAGAATAACCATGGCACATTAACAGCGGTGTGAAGGACGCCATGTTTCAGCCGTATTTACATGCTAGCGTACACGACTTTGTATAAAAGAGTTACGCATGCCACATCAGCTCTAAAGGCAAAAAGTAGCTAGCCTACAGTCTGAAGTCAAGCTGAAGAGTTCCCATGACGTAAAATCTGGTTGTGTAAAGAAACATTAAAGATCCGGCATGAATGTCTAAAAACTCAAGGATTTAAAATGGTGGTTAGCGAAATAGTAATGGCTTAAACCATTATTTTTCTTTCTCCACGTGCCAAGCAGTTTGATAAATCCCCACGTACCTCCTCCGCACGGCAAGGTACAGTCAGACATGATGACCTTCCAGGCGAACGGCGAAACCCTGGCCCAGGTCTGGTTGGTCTGCAGCCACCAGAGCGGCACCATGGGTCCTCCGAGAGACAGCGGTCGCCTCCAGAGCTGCTGTTGCTGTCCGCTGTGTCGTTCAGCTCGGTCGTGGGCGCTCCTCTTGGTCCGACGGCGACGTCGTTCTCGCTGAGGAGGACGGGGCTGAACAGCCTCTGAAGATGCATCAACAAAGACTGCGGCTGACCGGGAACGCAATCAGGTTTTTCTTTAAGCCGAGGTTGCACTGCTTATATATCATGCAGAATATGGTCTCCAGACACTGCACAAGGCGTGTTTTTTTTTTTCCTTGTATAACGGCCCTGTAATATTTGGCATAGAAAAACTGTCGGCGGACATGTCCGAAGCAAGTATGTGTATGAAGCACGTGTTTCGAACATTCTTGAGGAGTGCCCTCGTATACTTGTGTCTTCATGTTTTACAGGGAACACCGTGTCTTCTGTATGATTTACGAGCAGTGCTACAGGGCCTTTCTTGTTCTCGCTTCCTGCTGGACTTATCGCACACGGCGCTGGACATCTAAAAGCTACGGATTCTGAACTCTGCCTTTTACGGCGAATTATCCCGTATTTTTAAAAGGCTCCCGAGTATTCCTAATCATCTGCATTTTTTTCCTCTCAAACCGCCTTGTATGGGCACGCGTCTGATCACCCACTGACCTGTACTTAGGGTTACTCAGTGAACATAATAACAGCCAGGGCAAACTCTGGTGAGATTTATTTTGCTTAAAGGCTCAGCTCCTTCAATGTACTTGAACCTTCACTTCCACCCAGGGCCGTACCCAGAAAAAAATTTCGGGGGGGGGGGGGGGGGGGCGGGGGGGGGTGAGGTTTCGGGGACAACGGCGGCCATTTTGAAAGTGTCTGTTGTCTTGTTTTCGCCTATCAATCATGTGCATCGGTGGCATATAATAGAGAGTTACAGCAAACCGGAGAACCGGTCCCGGTTTGGTACCCGGTAGCCGACCGGCGCCTCTGCGCGTGCGCAGAGGCGAAGATTAAAATCGGCTGGCTGTCAGTGCACCGACCAGGGCCGTACCCAGCAAAAAATTTCGGGAAGGTCAGCACCCCCCTAACCCCCCCCCCCCCCCCCCCCCCCCCCCCTGGTTACGGCCCTGCTTCCACCCATCTCCGTCCTACTAGCCCATTCTTAAAACAGTGTCTCATTTCTGTCATTCAAATTTCGTACTTTTACATTAAGGAATATACTTGCCTCGGCCCTTATGTTGCTTTCTACACGTGCAATTTTCATAACTTGGTTTTGACTTACACCGAAGTATTAAACCAGCGAACAAGCGCTGGAAGTAAAACAGTTAAGGTATACCACGCTATTCAGAACGGGCCATTGGTAGCATGTAGATTTTCGTGTGTGTGTTTTTTTTTTTTTTTGTTACTTATTAGAGTAGGGCTTTTTCAAAAATAAACTTGCCTTCCTCCAGTGGCGTCCCTTCGTGCGAAAACCTCTGTAAATAAGAAAATAGTAGGATATAATGAACGTCGTTTTACACAACGAAACGATGGCGACACCCTTCCTTCCACTATACCTTGTTACACGGGCACACCTAACCGCAGTAAACTCACCTTTCTCTGCTCTTACGCGACAGTTACCGCACTATACCCCCGAATAGTTATTTCAAAAGAAGTGAAGAGCCCGCGTGCATTGCGTTGATGGGTATACTCAAGATGCTCAGGCGCACGGACACAAATATATCTCTGACTGCATGCATAGCCACCAAATGTTGTCCGCAAGTATTTGTACTAACTGGGGCTTCGCGTAACTGCAGTTAAGTGTGCCCGTGTAACCAGGGTATTACACAGCCAAATTAAGATCTAAATGTTTAAAATAAGTTAAAGCTTCTTTTCTCATGCTGAAAATTTGCGTGTCGAAGCCGTCTTCCAATCCAAAGGGCGCTCCAAGACGCACTGTTTTTCTCCAGAGGCCAATGTTACTAGCCCTTTGCTCTAATCCCGAGGCTTCTACTATAAAATGACGAAGCACTATACTGATCAACCTTCAAATTTGCTAAGGCCAGGAGCTTGAATTCAAAGTTTTGGCAGTGGTTCCCTCTTTGCGATGGTTCGTAAAGCCGATGTGAGTCCCTGATGGACCTCACGCTTGTAGCCTTCTATGTAGTACACCTTAAAGTGACACAGAGTGTAAACTCCAGTAGGCAAGCAAGAGGCATACTGCTTCACACTGGATATAATATAAACTATGTGTACCAGGCTATATATTTGGTCGTACCTACTCTAGTCATGTATCACGATGACTGAATTGTCACTATGTGAAGGCTGTGGACATTCGCGACGTCAAGCTAAACACCGCCAAACGGGTCGAGTTTAACAGGCAGGAACTCACGGCCACCAGCAGTGACCAATCGTCGACGTGACGTCGTAGACAGACCCTTCTGGACAGGTAGTTAAGACAGCTTACCTGACAGCGCCCGCTGACGCAGTAGGCGCTGCCGCGCCTGCCGCTGCAGTCCGTTCCAAAAGGGAAGCGGCCCTCTTCGAAGACGTCCATCTGGTAATGAGTGTCCTTCCAGACGCGGTCCTGGCAGGCCACCACGCAGGCCACGTGGGGGTTGCCTGTGTCCGCAACGCGGAGGAACCGCAAAGGTCGACTTAGCTTGTTTCATCCAATGCACCCTTCTAGTATACGATGAACGTGATTCCGAATGACGTGTTTAACGTCCAGCTCCAGACTCGGAGCGAAACTAGAAGTTTCTCTCTCTCTCTCTCTCTCTTTCTCCTGTTCTGCCCATGCACCGAAAGTTTTTCCGAAGTGGCAAAAAATTAGTAACGAATTCCATTGGGCGCCACCACCACCGATCCAGGTTTCCCGCTGTGCAGCCAAAATACGACACGGTTCGCTCGCGGAAAGTGCAAGTGCAGTTTTTAATGAAGGATGAAAACCCTCCACAGGTCAGCACCCCTGGTCAGGGTCTGCTATCGCGCCATTTATGTAAGGGAGTGCGAACTAAACGAGGACAATGAGGACGATAGACACGCTTCGTGGGGACCGTGCAACGTGCACGCCCCTGCCGCCCGGATGTTGTAGTTGGATGTTGACTAGTAGAAAAGCGATGGGGTGCAGCAGTTCTAAGTTCTTCACGTCGTATTTATTGTTCGGGCTCCGGTTCGGGCCAGTGGATTCTAAATGTATTTCGAGCCTTCTTATGGAATAATCCATTATTTTCTTTGAGGGCTTACAACACACGATGATTGCAAGAACTTATGGAGCGACGGTAGTGTTTTCTTGACAACCGTCCGCTACACCCTTCCTCTGTCCATGAGTCGTATGAACATTTTGGCCTACGCCGAATTGGCATGAATATGTCACGACGTGTTATAGCAATGTATACTATACTAAAACAATTCCAAAATGCATCATTCAAAAAAAATACAGTGATTCAAACCAGTTGTTCCCTTTATGAAGCTATATGTAGACATATAATCGAACGTAGCGCTGGGATTGCTGTTACGAGATTTCTAGATGCCGAATCGTCGTTTCGCTCTTTCGCAAATCAGTCACCTTCAAACAAGCAAACTTCGAACAACGAGAAAAGCCTATGCTTTTGACGACACGCCAAGTCACTGCCATTTGATGCACTTTTAGACGGGAAAACACTCCTCGGTGCTCAAAAAATCTCACTAATCGCTTTTCATCGAGCTGGAGGGGGTGCCGATTCTTTGTCGAGATACGTACCCCACCCCTCTCGTGAGACTTATGTCTCAACGACAGGCGAACAGCCCACACCGCAAAGTTGTTCGTGAAGACGCCCTGGCAGCGATATCAGAACCCTAACCCTATTTCCGATTGGGCGCCGCCGTATTGAACTGTAAGCAAACCTGTCGAGTTTTTCGTTGCGTCGCCGTGTACGTACGCGTGACGTGCGCCCCACGAATGGAAGTCAATGGATGATAACGCATCAGCTATCCGGTGCGCACCAAGTGCGCACCGTGCACCCATTGGAAGACACTATGTGTCGCAGGAGCTGGCCTACATGCTGTCGGATGTCACAATCCTGGCGGTTAAGTGTAGAAATTAAAAAAATGAAATAAATAAAAAACATCGCGAGGGAATGCATGCGAGTGTTGCTGTCATTGTGGTGACTCAACTCCTCCTGGCTTCCGTGTCAACATGGAGAGCGACCTGCAGCAGAACAAGCGTCTGCCATATCCACCACAGCTGCTGGGACACCGCCAGGATCGCGACCGGCGACAGCACGACACTTTTATGACGTCATCAGGTGTCGCACTTTTTAGGACGCGGTAAACAAACCAGTCAGAGCCAGGTTCCAGGCACGATAATCATTACAAAAGGGTTTCTGCGGCTGCCGCTCATGGCGGCGCCAATTTTTTCGGCCACTTTTACAGTGAGCCCCTCAGTTGAAAACGCACTGTATACTTTAATATGAAGCTTCTGCAACGAGGTAACATATGTAGCAAACAGCAGTGATCGCAAAACGAACAGTCCTTACCGGGCTGACGAGGTAACTGACGGCCCTTGCCACTCAGAAGACTTGGGTACTTCCGGTGGTATTTCTCGCAGATCTTGGTGGCATACTGGTCGGCTGTCACCATTCCGCGACACTAAAGAATAGAATGCATTTCGGTAAGGACAGCGAATTTATAACAATCAGTCGACTTACAAAATATATTTTTCCACACCCCAAATATTCTTGTTTTGAATTTATGACTGGCTAAAATGTATGAGCCCATAATACTACGCCGACAGGATTCTCAAGAGAACAACGTATTTGTTCTTGGTTACCTGCTTCGCAGTGCCAGCGTTTCCCTCCAAAAAAAAGGGTCGTCGACTCCTTTGCTTTTTTTTTTTTTTAATCGATTTGCCGTACCTTTTTTGTGCTGATTGCATATCGGATTGAAAAGTATTCTCTCTGTGGCAACTATATGAATAGTGACTTGTGAATACTGGAATACTAAATACTGCCACATACTGCGGATTGCCCAGGAGAAGAACAAACTAAGGGAGATACGGTCAGCATGTCTTTCAGCGCGTATTTATGTTACAATGTTAAGGTGTCTCCAAATTAATATGGGTTTGAAAGTGCCATGACGTTCTAGATACTGTGGCAAGCACCTATTCATGTGAAAGCGTTGCACGGTACGTTTCTGAGTTTACCTTTCTGGTGGAGTCACAAAGCTTGAAGTTCTCCCGCTTGCCGCTGCATCTCGATCTGAAACGAAACCCATTCAAAACGATGACACAGTAAGTGTTCAGATAGGTTTCGAGTTTAGGCAGCACTAGGGGCAGCGCGCGGTCAACGACCGATAAAGGGCCGAAGAACTTTGGTCAGTGCACTCGCCAAAATATGTTTTCATGTTTTCAGCCGTTTCATGCTTTCATGTGTTTTCAACTGGCAAGTTCGGCCAAAGTGTACCGGTCGACAATCAAGACGGTTCTTGGCTGGAGGACAATCCTGGGACATCCATTAGCCGGTCACGTTCGACAGGGGATCACCCGCAGAACTTTTGGCCAGAGACTGACCAACGGTCTTTGGCCAACCATGGGACAATGACTCTTTTGCCGAATACCGCCACCATCAACTTTTGACTGAAGATTATCTGGTGATCTTCTCTGGTCACTAATAGGCCAAGAAACGTGGGGCGTGGCGAATTTCATGCATCAATTATCTCTCCGCAGCCAATCAAATTGCAGCATCATTCGATAAGAACACCCAAGTACCAATCAAGGAGCGCGAAGATAGTAAGTCACGCCCTTCCTTTCTTAAGAGTTGGCAGTGGCTACAGTCAGGGATGAGACCCCGCTCACACCGATCGTCTGGAGCCTGGAGCCTCTTGAGCACGGAACTGTGCAGCCGACTCACATGGAGTTGCATTCTCGGGACACCAGCTGGAATCCCGTGCCGTCGACGAGACAGGAATGCCTGCATTCGCTGACTGGATGCCAGGGCCCCCAGCCGGCGGGTACGCCGTGGGCCCTGGCCACCATGGTCATGGACTGTCTCGGGCACTCGGTCTCGTCCGTGTCTTCGGCCGTGCTGCGTCCGTAGCAGTCGAATGCCTGCAACAATCCGCCAGATATGATGTAAAAAATGTCTTTTTTACACGCACTTGTCTATAAATGTTAGGGTAGTAACAGTAGTAACATCTGGTATGATGATGAGTCTGAACCTGGAAGTGACCTGCCACAAGCGAAGGCGACGCAGTGAGGCGGCACTTTCAGAGAGGCCTATATAGCATGGTGCATCGGACAATTTCAGCTACGATCACGTTGTTTCCCTTTTTCATCCCAATGCAACTCCCAGCTAACCACTTTGTATAATTTAAAGGCTAGTCTTAGCGGACATGTACGACATACAATGAAAATTATAAAGCTCCTGGCCCGAAAGAGTCAAGTCGCTCGTTACGCACTCAAAGACTCGTGGTCTCGCCACTTAAATAAAGGTATAAAAGGCTTCCATGTTGTCAGCAACTATAATTATTATCACTTTTAGACTATATATGTATATATATATATATAATATATATATATTAGTCTAACCTTCCTGACGAAGACCTGCCTATATATATATATATATATAGGTAAAGTAAGGTAAATATGAAAACAATGGACCGGGAAAAGTTAATAAGTGAAAGATGCGTACTGTCGGAGTTACTAATTCGAAGTTTATTACGACGTTTCGAGCGGGGACCGCTCTTCATCAGGTAGCGAGTATACAGCCCGCGAATGTTTATATACCCCTAAGAAGAAATTAGAGGGAGTAAAGTACCGTAGAAAATGGAAACAGCGTTGACAAAATAGATAGATTACACAGAAAAGAGAGGGCACCAAAACCCTCTCCTTTCTGTGTAATCTATCTATTTTGTCAACGCTGTTTCCATTTTCTACGGTACTTTACTCCCTCTAATTTCTTCTTAGGGGTATATAAACATTCGCGGGCTGTATACTCGCTACCTGATGAAGAGCGGTCCCCGCTCGAAACGTCGTAATAAACTTCGAATTAGTAACTCCGACAGTACGCATCTTTCACTTATATATATATATATATATATATAGGCAGGTCTTCGTCAGGAAGGTTATATATATATATATATATATGTATATATCGGTCAGAAGGTCCTAACCGGGCCTTCTGACCGAGCCATTGGTAAAACAAGAAGAAACAATTACGGGCCGGTAGCAGAGATTAAATTAGAAATGATTGCGAACCTCGCGTATACCCAGCAGAATGCCCTTCTGAATCACATCGCAATATGAAAAGTAAACGATATCATCGTCCCTGATCCTTGGTTTATATATCTCGTGTCGCTTCCCCATCTGTCATGTATACCTGGCATTCCCCGTCGACGCAGTAGCGATTGCCCTTGTGGGCGTCGCGCCTCTGGCTGAGGCTCCAGCACGGCGTCCCTTCGGGTATTCTCCAGCCGTGGGTCATGTAGCCTCCGACCCGCTTTCGACACCACACGTAGCACGAGTGAGAATCTGCGACAGAAGGGTGCGATGAATGCACCACACCAGCTGCTGTGGTCCACAAGAGCGTTTCCGCACAAACGCCACTGCTGAAACCAAGTGAGAGTCGGCCCTCTTTAACTCCTCGACTTGTGGAAGACAATGCTCATCTAGGAGACAGTGTATAAAAAGTCGCTGTCGTGCTGCACGTGTACAAAATACGCTGCACACATGATGACGCGGTGTTTTACGCGTATCAAGCACGTTTACTTCATACATGTGCAGGCACACATTTCTCGTATATGAAATGGGACTTGAACACACCTACAAAACGCCTCAGACAGCGTATGGAGCTAGTAACAAACATTTCCTCCAAATAACTGGCAGGAAGAAGTGGAGGCTGCTTTCCGGAGTCGCTTCAATTAAGCCCCTGCTTATTCACCCGGTCGATGCGAAACTTGCGAAACCCCCTCGCTATCGAAGTCTTAAATCTAGTGAACCGGTGGCATTTCAGCGTCCCAAAGACTTACTACTGTTTGTATGTTTAATTTTGCGGACCGAACTGGGCACAAAGTACGTGATATGCGCTTCTCAACGAGCGATTTCAAATTTATAAACAATTTTTAGTAAAAATGGGATAGAACAAATGAATCAATCGCCTGAATTTACCGAGCCATGTCCGACAATGTAAGAATTGATCAAACTGTCTGCTTTTCTTTCGAGCAGAAGACGCGATGTGACAAACTTCTTTGCCACGTGTTCGATCATGGGAGGAGCTGAGCGTCAGCAAATGTCGAGTCACACTTGGATAGAAGCGTCGGTATCGACAAACTCAATGTAACTCAAACAAGTGTGCGACGCTTTGCAACACAATTTTGAACAGCTAAGAAGACGGCACGTCATTTACTTTAGTGAATGCAAAACCTTTTTCTACAGCAGCCTCCACAGATGTGAAAAAACAAGAGTCAGAGAGGCTATGAATAGCCCTGACGCACGTCGCGGAAACAGTATAATGTGAAGTTCCAGGCTTGTTTTTTAAACATTTGGAAGTTGTTTGTTTGTTTTTTTAACAAAAAACAACCTAGAAGCGCTGGTATCAGTTAGAGAGATAACTCACAGAAACGTCATACGCGTTTATTTAATAAATAATCCGTTGTTAATCTGCATAGAGGCGAACTAACATAGCCACTCCGTGCTTTGACATAGCGCGTCGTCCGCTCGCATCCTGCCAGCTGCGTCACAGGAGGACGGCCGCGAGGTGGCGCTACCAAAACATCTCGTCGTCAGTGGTCGGTGACAGGTCAAGAAAACAGGGCAAGGGGGAGGAAGGCTGGGGAGGAGAAGAGGAAACATCCCCTTTTCTTCAGCCCCCCGTAAGTAAAGCCTAAGTAAAACGCGGCTGTCTGAAGTCCATGTACTGTGTCTTAACTGTGTCTCAGATGTAGGTCACTCACAGTCTCTGCTGGGAAACTGAGTCCCGTATGGTTCAATGGTAGTGTCCCGCAGTGAGGCCTGGCTACATATGGACTGCAGGAAGTCTTCCAAAAGCCTTTGCGGGGTCGACGCTGTGCAAATCTAAAAAAGAAAAATCAAGGAAAGAGAGACCATATTAAGAACATTTCTAGGCAGTGAATTTCACGCATTACATTCTTTTTTTTTCTTTGGGGGGGGGGGGGGGGGGGGGGGGAGAGAGATTGTGCTCACCTGACTGGCGTCGCAAATTTGTACCCTTTTGTCCGATCCTTCGCAGAACTTTCCTCCGTTCTGTGGACTGCGGAAGAAAAAGACAAATTACATTATATTTTATTAAGCGAACAAACCGCAATTTTTTCACGCCTCCATTATAATTTTATTGGGAATCTAGAAGCAACCCGAACGTGAATACTGGTAAAGTCGCCAAGGAAATGAAAGGGACAAACAGGGTCACTGTCAGAAATATAAAATTGAACATATAAAAAAATATACATCAAGATAGGGATTCCAACTCCGTTATGTATAGATATTGTTAAAATTGTATCGACTTGGCTCAATGCAAGACACACCAACACTCAACGAGAAACCAGCAAAAATGCTGAATTAAAACGCTGCAATACACCCCACCATAAAGCAACGTGTTTATAAAAGTTCCTGTTTGGATCGGATGAACTGTTTCCTCCCTAGTTATTCCTTACAAACTGTATATATTGTGCTGTACCATTCGATAAGTTTACTTAAACCTAAACTGCTCAATGCTTTATCCTAGTCGTAGTCGTAGTGCAGAAAAATACTCTCTTCTTTCAAATGCACCCGGAATTTTTCAGGCATGGTTCGGAGACGTCTCTACCTGAAAAAGTCACCCTTGTTTTTTGTTTGTTTTATGCATCTTTCTACAACCCCACCCCCATAATTTTTTCTTCAATTCACTGGTATCAAGATTTCAGCTATTGCGCCCTCTCCATTCAATTGTCGCGGTTCAAGCCATCGTACCTGGGGCGGTCGCAGCGCCGCCGTGAAACCTTGACTCCGACGTAGGCGAAGTCGTCCCGCCCCACGCAATCCGACCGGCAGGACCCGAAGGCAGACCAGGGGCCCCAGCCCCCGTCCACGGGAGGATCCCGGGACCTCCTCCGCTCCAACTCATCCTTACGGGCCACGCAGTTGCCGCCCTTGCACCACTGGGACACACGCGTCACAGACAACGAACGAGTAAACTTAAAGCCCCAATGCCAGTGCTTGTACATCGTATAGAAGGGACACCGCTGGAGGCACCATGATCGAATCAACACGCCTCAAGCATATGTTCGAGGCTAATGTTCACTTCATAATATATACTCTTGGAACATGTCTGCAGATAGTTTTTCTATGACAAATCTGACAGGGCAAGGAAAAAACACGCCTTGGACAGTGTCTGGGGACTGTCTTCTTGATGATGTAGTAGCAGTGTGCACGCGGCTTGGCCTTCGAGGGTCCTCTTCTTTTCAAGGAGGCGATCCCTAAGCCATGACTCGATAGGCATTTATACGCTGAAGCACTGAGATTCACAGTGAACGCACCTTTCCCTCCCCGCACGGAGTGCCCTCGAGTGCAGGATGTGCCGCGAAGGACACGGGCGTCAGTCCTCTGCTCATTTCACAGCGCAGCATCCTGCAGGTTTCCTGGGCCAGAAAACGTCAATCGTCGTCAGTGTGCGTCGGATTCTTGCAAAGGGACCGCGCAACACGCAGCGAGTAAAGATGGTGCTTTAACGAAGGAAGGAATCCAGGCGGTGCCCTTACGTGGATTAGCTAATGACTGGTGATTTCACAAACGGCATTCAGGTAATACCGTTACCTGGAACGACTGATGACTGCTACTTTAACGAAAGGCATCCAAATGTTATCATTGCCTAGAGTGAATGACTGGTGCTTTCACCAAAAGCTCAGATTGGGTCTGTTAGCTGAATAAAAGGCACCCAGGTGGTACCATTACCTGGAGTGACTGATGACGCTTTAAAAAAAAAGGCATCCAAGTAGTACCATTGCCTGGAATGACTAATAACTAGTGCTTTAAAAAAAGGTATCCAGAGTATCGCCTTCTGAAGTGACTGATGACTAGATCTTTAATAAAAGATGCAGGTGGTACTGTTGCCTGGAGTGACTGATGACTAACGCTTTAATGAAAGGCATCCAGATGGTATTATTACCTGGAGTGACTGATGCGACGTCTTCCGGCTGGAGGACCCAAACCTCAGGGCGCACTGCTGGTCGGCCGTGAACTGTTCCCCGGGCAGACCGCTCTTGGGCCCGAGCAAGTTGACGAGGCTGGCTTGCTGGAAGACGCAGACGGCTGCCTGAGAGCGAAGAAACTTGGCCATGTACTGCCTCGAACAGGCGGACCAAGTCGTCTTGCCGGCGCCCAGGGTCGGAGACATGACGAAGTTGTCCACGTCGCAAGGATTGCCGTCCTGCACGCCGTCGTGCTCCATGCCCAGGCTGAAGGCGGACATCGAAGACTGGCCGTTAGCGTACGTTCAGCAGATGGTGCTGGTGATCCCACACGATGATGGTCATGATATATGAAGGAGAATGACGATTCCGATGATGACGATTATGATGATGATGGTGGTGGTGGTAGCGGTAATGGTTGCATTATGGGAGAATTTTCAAATAATAAATACAAACATATTTTTTTCGTAATAAATGCTCTTGTGCATATTTTATTAGGGTAGGAAAAGTGACAAATCGGCCAACGTTTCGTGTAAGAATATTTTTTGTATAAAGCACTCCTTGTGCAGATGATGACCCTATCGGACTTTTGCCTTAGTAATATGTATTAAACGATTTGCTCATTACGAATATTTGCCTTTGCTAAATTCTTTCCTTTTTGTCCCATTAGTTCGAGCATCAGACCAAGGCCGATGAACAGGCAGAAGGAAGGTTTCTTGCCCTCTCTTCGGGAAGGGGGAGGGGGGTTCTTTATGTCGCTTTACTTGTACCCCCAGAAAACCTCAATTTTTTCCTTTTCCTTCCCAGGAAGGAAGCGAAAAAACCACTCCTAATTTCTGCGGGGAGGAGCTCTAATGGGGAGTTTTCGTAGACCGCGTTTTCCCCTCCGCTAAGCCCTCCGCAACGAAGAAGCTTCTACTGCGCCTGCGCGCCGATAGCATTGACTGTAGAGTTCCGGGTAACGTAGGGGGTTGCGGAGGGCGTTACGGGACGGCGAAAACGATCTATGAAAACTCCCTATTATCCGCTCCTTGCGTTCGAGGAAGAGGGAAGATCGCGAGAGATTGTAGAGGATGACCACTGGGAAGAGTTTGCTTTCTGGCAGAAAGGGCTGCCTGCGTGAAGATCGCATCTAAGGGTATAAACGCACTAGGGCAACACATTTCTGCTTGTTTTCCTTGTTTCATCTTCAGTGTGCAGTGTTTTAGTTGTTTGTTTATTTGTTTTTTTTTTCGAGCATCAGCAACTTACTTACCTGTGCCCCATTTCATGACTGGCGACGTAGACGCTCTGGAAGCTCGTTCCTTCGCTGATGGTACAACTGTTGAGGGAGTTGCACATCCCGCTTACGGGCGCCAGACCTGCGAGGTGACCCGGGTAGAGGTCGATCCCAAGACAGTCGTTTAGTTGCGCATATGTAGTCAAAAGAGGTTACCTAGGTTTAAAAATCCGTTGGCCATTTTTACTCGTGAATAAATCAGAACGCTAGCTTGCGTTCATCAGTGCCGTTGAACCCTTCCGTTGAATCGTTGAGCAATCCAGAGCGTGCACTACTGTACTTGTATGATTTTTTTATGGAATTCAGTCGACAAAAGTCACTCATCTTGAGTCGAAATTTCGGTTTAGGGAACCTGAGAAGTCCTCTAGTGTTCATAAAGTCCAATCTCGGAGAACTCGGCAAGACATAAACCTGACACCGCCTAAGGCTCGTATGAATCGGCCTCTTTGCCATGACCTAATCGACAATAAAAAAAGAACCTTACCGACAACGTGCCTTTTCCTCGTGCCTCTCTCATCAACGACGAACATGTTGATTCTGAAAAGTAGACGTTAAAACATAACCGACACTACGCAGCATCCAAATCCTTTTTGTTTTATTTTATAAATGTAATTATAAAAACTTAAATTAGCGAATTTCATTGACGTCAATACACAAGCAAAGTCGTGTTTTGTTATTGACACTGTCTTACTGGACGTCTTTCTCATGAGTCGGTTAAGAACGGTGAAAAATTGGAAACCTACTCAGTAACACTGTTTATCGCACCTGCTCGCAGCCTGCCTCGTTGAAAGAATGCGGAACGCGAGTTCGTCTGCCACTTGCACAGGAGTTGCGATGATGCCAGAGCGACGCCGACCTCTGATTGGCTGATTGAAAAGAAATAGTGGGTACACCTCAAGGCGCCTAGCATTGGGGTCTACAAACTATCCTTTCGATCACAGCCAATCAGAACTCGGCGTCGCTCTGACGTCATCACAACCCTTGCGCAAGAGGAAGACAACTTTTTGTCCGCGTTGCACCGAGTCTTAGATCACTATAGGTGTCTGTGTGCCGCTAATTCCAGGAAATGGAGAAAAGAAACGCTGTATAATGCACAAACTTTGTTTATGTAAACGATCAAAGAGGGTTATGCTGACAAGCAAGAAGCAAATCCAATTTGTTTTAGATTTGATTACTTAACTTTTCTTGGTGCATTTACAGCATCTCCGGTAAATTCCAGCGCAGTTCTTAACATTACCGATATCCGGCTCAACACGTACCGGCCGATTACATGCTAAGACTTTTACGCAACTTTGTGTTGTATTTAAGACAATTGTATTCTACCGGTATGTTTACGGAAAAGGATTCGCAAAATGACTCCCTAATATTGTAGACATACCCTGAGAGCAAAAGTGCGTGGTCCCATCGTGGCATACCCTGTGATACCGATCGCCTTCTTTGGTGCTGCCAGACGCAGAAATTGGTAAGATACGTGTCTATATTTTCTGACGGGACGAGGTCCTGTAAGAGACAGAAATATGTATAGGGTTCCATGTTTATAGATAACAAAAATATTACGAATAAAGCAAAATTAAACCCCAAAGAATGTAAAATTTTTAAGGAGTTGAAAAATGGCAGAAGAAAACAACAATAAACGCAGAATTTGCGATAAAAAAATAACAAAGTACTACCAACTGGCAAAAAACTAGGCACCGTGAAAATTTCTTCTTTATTTTTATATAGAGTGTTGAGTGTTCATTTTTTCGACGATTTACACAATAACGACGATTTACACATTGTTGTCTTAAGTTTTACCATTGGTAAAACCTAAGACAACAATTTACAAAAAAATACATAACATACAGAGCTTCCGTGTTTTTACGTTGTTAGCATTTCTCACGCTCTTCGAGTACTTGGCTCTCCTTCTATAGTAAAGATTTTTTTTTGTTTTAGCCTGCTTACTTAAGTACGGGTCAGGAGTTACAACTTGAATACTGCCAAGTTTAAAAACTTCGCACTTGTTGCTGAAGTTGAGGATGAAGTTCTGGCATAAGGTTGAAAAATACCACGAAATCAACTATTCTACCCGGAAAACAAATGCTTTTACTTATTTGCGTGTTAAGCAAAAATGTAAAAGTGGAAATACCGAGGCCACCATTTCGATTGTGTATATAAAACCCTAGACTAATTGGCAGATCGATAAGATTCTTACCCGACAAGATACTCACCCGCGGTTGAAGTTTCAATATCTCTAACTCCACGACTGTGACATCCATACTTCTTCCAAGTGAATCGTGCTTGAACAGCATTTGAACCTGGGTGGGGTAATTACGCGCATTAATTCCACACTCCGGACGCTGAAGATGCTCAATATCTACGATGGCACACTTATTAATTAGCCTCACTCGAGGACAGCATGATGAGAATCAGTAACTATTAAAAAAATATTAATTGTAAAAATAAATATTGCGCATATTAAATAATTACCACGGGGCTGAGCTTAGGCGCGAAACACGTGTGAACACAAACCGCGTCGAGACGTTCCACTGAGCGGCGTAACCATAGCAACCGTGGTGGACGCTGTAACGTTGCCGAATGCAGCGCCACTACGTCACAGCGTCAGCGACGGTTGCTATGGTTACGCCGCTCAGTGGAACGACGCGACGCGGTTTTTGTTCACACGTGTTTCATGTTTTTAGGGCACGCAGAAAAGCTGGGGTTTTTGCAAGACTCCTCGACTGCCTTTGAGTGTGCTTCTCTGCATTTTGGTGATGCTTCGTGCAGAAGAAAGATGAGAAGCTCAAGCCATGCCGGCGCACTTGGCTATCTCATGTAAGTGCCGCACCAACTTTCAACCGAGATAATAATAATGTGAAAGACAATCACCGCCTGAGACTTCCTTTGTTTGTGCATGTGTATGCACGAGCAAGTTCGGTTATATGGGCGTGAAAGGAAAACTTCCGCCTGCGTCAGCTTCTCCGCAGTGCACTGAGTAGTGCCGAGAAGGCACGCTCTCAGAGGGCAGGGACTCGTCAATGGACCTGTTGAAAAATTTGGTTTCTCCCGTTGAGTACTGTCCCCAACGTGCAACTCCGGAGGACTTTTTTTTTAAACTATTCCTGGTTTTCCTTTACAACACTCTCGATGCAATCAATAATGACGACACTATAAAATATGTTACTTTTCCCGTACTGGCAATAAACACTTTTTTTTTCTTTTTCTGCCTGGCGGGTATGCCACGAACAGGTATGGATGTAAAATTCAATATGTGTCAGGAAGAAGCATTTTCAGGTTTAGACCGCGAATTAAGTTCAAACAAACTAGAACTCAGTTTGTCCGAACTTAAATCTATTCGTTCGATATCACGCACCTGTCCAGCGCATTCGAACTGCCCTAGTTCGATATGCACCAACTAGCCCCAACCAAAGCTTTATTGCCCTAGCCAAATTGTCGTTGTTGAGGGAAAATGCAGAAGTCTCCATTTCATCTCATTTTTTCTGTTTGATTTGGCGCCTTTGACCTATGCATTCGCACTGCACGTGCCAAATTGTCTCTCACAGCGGAAAAGCTGTCCGAACCTCCGTACGACAACTTTGAGCTTTCTCGTCGAGGATCATTCGCTCACCGCGTTCATGATGGTGAGCACGTAGGTGACCAGTTCCTGGTCGGTGTTGCCAGGAAAGGCCCTGGTCATGGCCTGGTACAGCGCCTGGTCTACGAAGACGGCCGTCTCGACCACGGCGCTGCGGTCGCCCCTCGAGCTCCTCAGCGCCCGCCGCTGTCTTCGTCGGCTCCGGGGCCTGTACTTGAGCTCGTCGGTGGCCTCTTGCTCGGGCCCTCGGGCCGTCCTGGTCACGTTGTTCTGCCTCGAGGACCGCTCGTCTTGGAGATCGAAAGAATGGTTCGAGGGCTGTTGAGTTACCGTTTTGCTGTCCAAGATGTACATCGCAAGTTCCATTAAATGCATCTAAAGGTAAAACTCCGCGTTTTATAGCTCTGAACGGATATTCTGCGAAAAGTTTCCAGGGGTACGCTAAACAAGCGTGGCGAGCTGTACACCATCATACTGTTCGCGACAGTACTGCATAAGGTACCCGGAGTATCCGTGCGATTGTATTCCTGGTATTGGACTGGTTACAAAATTAGCTTCCACGAACTGTACGCATGCTCTCCCGTGACGCACTCGAAACGTGGGTACTTTCTTTTAATCAACTAATTCGGAGATTGGGCCGAACCGTATTATGCTTTAAAGGGGCGGAGCAACGGAGCTTACTGGCACTAGTGGGACTCAAGGATACTTGCACGCAATGCCACTGGCCGAGAAACTCCTTCGTTGCGGTGTAATTTCAAGGACAAAAGAGATTGTTTTCATTTAATCTCCTTCGGAAAACTTGATGACGTAGCTGGGCGGTCTCAAGACCACCCAGTGACGACAATTTAAAAGCGGCTCATAGATTGGACCCAAGCATTGCGTGGGCACTCGATTTGGGCTCGTGATAATCGATAGCTCGGAAAGTATTCAGGTAGTGGCCCGTGTCCAATCGCTGCAATGACGACAATAGCCGAGCCATAACAATGTCTGGAACTCAGCGCGTGTCCTGTGCCTTGCCAATCCCAGCGCGTGGCTATGATCAACATTGGCGACATAGAATCATCTCCAAATCCCGTGGCCGCTCGTTCTGACTGCGAGTTGAGGGGGTGAACGCTGCTCGTTTTGCTTTAATTTTTTCTGCGACTTGGATTGCGTGTAGTGGAAAACGAACGGGTGTTTCACAGGTCATTAACGCGAGGGATCCGTTTTAAGCGGTATTTGCGCAAAGTACAAAAGTCATTGCATCGCTCCTTTAAAGATGCTGCACTCCCAATGGTAAAAGGGTGCGTGCCAGCATAAAACTTGCATACCTACTTACACGCCATGGCGTTTGCCCTTCGGGTTGGCTAAGCTACGATCAATCGTTGGCATTCCCCTTGCTCCGCGAAATTAAGACTATTCAAACGGGCATTTCTTAACGCAAATTTGACTATAAGTCTATAGTGTGTTTCACTAAAGTAAATACAGAAAAAGCTCCGCCAATCTTGAAGAAAAAAACACTGACGCTTTCGTAATCAGTGGCAGAGGGGACGTAAATTTTCCGTAGAAATTCGGGGCTACAAAGCGTCTCCCGCAGTTTACTTGTCGCAACAGACCATACATGACTTAGTGAACAAAAGGTGAGGGCGCAAACGAGCTGGTGGTGGTAAAACATTTTACTAAAAACACCCGTGACTGGGACGAGAGGGGACGGACAAATACAAAGTCTCAAACAGAGAAAACGAAAGGGGTTTAAATAGGCATCAAATCCTTAACAAAACACCAGAGACGAGAGGAGGGGGGGGGGGGGGGGGGGGGGATGGGGAATCCCGTGCCATGGCTTATATGGACGTCCCATTGGCTTGCCATTATGGTGGTCTGGCCTCTGAGAGCGCGCACCTTCTGCATCGTACGTTTCCCACGACCGAATACTTCTCCCTAGCCAAGAACCGGAACGAACGACAACCAACCAGCACGCTACGACGACGTCAGGAGGTAGCCATGCAACGGAATGGAAGGGCACACTCACAGTGTGCGCACTGCTGCGTCTGGTTGCCGTCTCCCTTGACAAGGATGTGCGGCGAGGAGGCGTTGATGGTCCTCGTCCCTCCGGACAGGTCCAGCGGGTACACCAGGAACGTGGAGTTGGGCGTCTCGATGAGGCCTCGCTGTTTAATTGCCCAACGCCCGACAACGTCACAGCTTCCCCCTTTGTACCCTTCCCAGGAGTCTGGTACATGCTAGAGCTGCCAGTCACGCCGCTCGAACATCGTGCGCAAGACTGACGCTGACGCTGCAGACGACTGGATGGTCTGTCGTCAAGCATCTTCGAAGCACGTCTGCTTCGTACATGTCTGATGACAGCTTTTGTCTGACGACAGGACGCAACCAAGGTCTCGGACAGTGTCTGCAGGATGTCTTTTGCGTGATGTTCTAGCGGTCTGACTTCTGCTCAAGAACCGTTCACGGTTGCTCGGAAGTCCTCGCAATCAGCGCAGCCCCCGAGGAACTTTCACATCTATAGACCTTTTTCACAAGAGCGCCGCCATCTTGAATTATCGTCACTTCCAGTATGGGCGAAAACATTGCTTTGCTGTCGCCACGTCAGTATGATACATTTAGGATATAAGCGTAACCGTCACTCATTCTCGTTTTGTCTCCTCTCTATTCTGTTACATGTGCAGGTTGAGAGTAAGCGAAAAAGGTCCATACCAACCCAAATGCAAATCCACAGAGCACTGCTCTGTTTTCAGAGCGGACGTGCAGTGCTTCGGTGTTTATTTTTTCCCCCACAGATTTACACAAACACTCCAAATCTGTAAACCGCACCGCCCCCCCCCCCCCCCCCAAAAGAAAAAAAAAACCGTGTTTGAAAGAGAAACAAGACCGTAAACACGAAACGAACAAGCTCAACGTGGCTGATGATCAGATGGAAGCGCTACATTGCTTCGATGGATAAATATTACCACGACTATTGCCTTCAAAACGACCTGGGAGGGTTAAGTATGACGTCGTTCATCAGTTCGAGACTAGCGCCTGGGGTTCTCATTGGCTGCGCAATGGGAGACGGGAGTTGCGTTAATGCTAAAAGATTTTCTTCCCAGAAGAACCGGGTGCGATTCGTAGAATAACCGTAAGAAGGTCCCTGACAGCTGACGCAGGGATATTACTTTCACGCTGCTCGCTTCTTGATTGGTCCTTAGTCGTTCGTGTCGGCCAATCGCGCAAGATGATTGGCTGCGCAAATATAATGAGATGCTCGGAACTTACCCCTCCCAGGGTTTCTTAGGTTGTCAGTCTCTCAAATGAGTCCCGAATGAAACCAAGGGCAATCTTGGCGCCTTCCGTATTCTCTCGGCCCACTCGGCGAGACGGGCGAGGCATAGATTGCGTAACTTTCGGCTCGTCCTCACCAGTCCGGCGCAGACGGAAAGCGCGGCCTTGCTTCCGGGCACTCCTCGAACCCGGCCCTGGTAGAAGCACGAGGCGTCCGGAAGGACGACGTCTTCGTCCCGACCAGAGACGTCCCTCCGTCTCCTGGTGCTGTTCTCGAACTCCCCTTCCTCCAGGAGTTGGAACTGGTTCGAGATCAAGGACTCGCTCTGGTGGGTAGAGGGGAGGGAAAGCTTCGGTAAGCGGATGTCCTCGTACAAAGCGAAGACAATCAGCTGAAATCAGTGTCGACGTGTTAACGGCTCGAAGCCGTTTCCCATTCAGTGATTGCGACAATGCCCAAGGAGTTTGAGTATGTCCGTGACGGCTCAAAGAAGGCGGCTGGAGGGGGAAAAAATGGCGAGGGACAAGTCACGTAAGCTGTGTCAGACTCTCTCTGAGACCTGTCCCCCGCGTGTGTTCTGCTGTGCTTCCGTTCGTGTCTCGATGTAACGCGGTATGTTCTAAACCCTGAAATTCAAGTTTACGTAAGAAAGAATAAACAAATAGGACGCAACACAGAACACGACATATTTCAATTAGCAACAACAAGAATAAAACATACCCCTCACCCCCCCCCCCCCCCAAAAAAAAAAAAAAAAAAAAACAAATTTTGGAAGGACAGGGATAAAAATGTTGAAGGCAAAGGAAATATCAAACAGGAAAATAAATGAAACTTAAATACACAAATTTCGTGTCTCAAAATTAAAGCTAAAAGCTTTCCTTCGACAATTGTATCCCTTTTGTTCCAAGATTTGTTGACGCCTTTGGGGAGGAGGTTCTGTTTCATTCTTTTTGCTCCTAGCTGAAAAAAAAAAAAAAAGTCGCGTTCTGTGTTCCGTTTTATTTGTTTATTCTTTCGTGCGTAAAACTGAGCCTTACCAACACACTCGGTTCTTAATTGATCCTAAAATTCAATCAGCTCTATTATTGGTGCTAGTTTTGTGGTGGTGTTCGCCAGTAGTGAGTTTTTTCCCACTGTTGGTGGAAAGTTTTCACGCATTGGTTTATTTTGGTCTGATGTGAATTAATGCAGAATAAGAGTAAAACGACGATAAAATAATGGAAGTGAGATCATCTACGATGATGAGACACGGGTTAAGAACATTTAAACACACTCGACTATAAGTCACTCGCACGTAAAAAAAAAATGACAACGTTTAAAGCGCAAACGTCGCATGCGTTCAGAAAAAAATCACGAAGACAGAAAAATGCACTAGAAGACTACCACAAAGACACATCGGAGAAAACTTTAAAACATGCGACACCACTTCGACAGCGGTCGCACAAATCACAAAATTTAAAGTAACCCGCGGACATTGAGCAATCCGAACACTGTCGTTTTAGCCATGTGCACTATAGATGGATGGGCTATTCCAGAAAGAGCAAGTCTCCCCAAGTCATTAATGAAAGAGATATCGAGGCTCTTCCAAGAAACCGAATAGTTGAGGTAGAGCGTATACCTGCAAGAAACATATGTGCTTCGGAGTTTCTATAGTTGGTCACAGTGCTGATAAGTATAGGGCTGGTCGTTCCAGCTTGCTTCAACACTTTCGTCGCTGTACGTGTAAACTGCGTCGTTTTATATACCACATGAAACATGAACGTTTGCCTTTCTTAGTTAGTAACACGAGTTAGTTCTTCACGTAAGACTCCACTACAGTCGAGTACTGAGAAAGACACCTGTTCATAAGCAGAATACCTACAATACGTCGACATCCTGAAGTGGAAGAAAGACTGCAGAAAGAGGGCAAGTGTTGCGGACAACTTCTTAGCGTGACCGCACATAAGTTAAAGACATCGTAATACTGGAACACTCTCTTTCACCGTAAACATAACATGAGGTCACTCGAACACGGTGGGGAAAGCTTGCAAAAGAACCTCCGGCAAAGGCATTTGCAAAGTGGCCGCCGACATTTCGCTGAGCTCAACTGTCACAGTTTCCGCCGTCACGGCAGAAACTGCAGTCTGCTCGTCGGTCCTGCCAGATTGGTCACAAAGAAACTGTTTTTAAACATGCTGCAAGCATAAATATAGCAGCTTGGAACATGCTTCAGGCGTGTCCGCGTGTGTCTTAGTGTCTTTTGCGTGACGTATGAGCACTGAGGCTCAAGGCAAGTGCTCCGTACAAGACGTATACGTGTGCCACTTTTCCCTTTTTCACGCGGCACTCGAACGGCCGCTCGATCGGATCCCACCTGGTCCAGGTCTAGCCGCAGCGTGTGGCCAAAGGCAGGCAGCTCCAGGCTAAGGTCTGGAGGTCCGTCCAGAAGGTGCCGCCTCCGACGCCGTCTCCGTCTCCGGCGCTGACGCGACGGCGGTTTGGCGTCCAGGTGCGGCTCGAACACTTCGTACTTGGCGTCTGCGTGCGTGAGCGAGAAATCCATGCACTGCCTTTGTTATAAAACATACCAGGTGTTTCGGCCAAGATTTTCGAAAATTTCTAGCAATAAAGTGGTCGAGAGAGATAAAAAAAGAAACTCTTTGTGGGAACAAACTGAGCCACGGCGAACATGAGGGACTGCAAAGGACGCACTATTTCGCTCAATAAAATACAATTATTTACTCATTTTTTATCTAATAAAAGTAAACATATTGTTCCAATTAGAAACGGGCTGAGCTTCATCGAAAACATCGATAGATCATTCATTTTTCGGACGTGTGAAGTTTGGGTGTACGCCAGTTTCCCCTCTAAAACTGGTGATCCAGGAAACAATTTTTTTTTAATCGCTCTATTGGTGGGATGTCTTTATAGACTTGGCAGAAACGCCCGCTATGAAGCCAGCTTCGTCGCCAAAGTCCTACAACACTTCGAATTTAACGTTTAAGGAGCGACCGTTTTAATCCGACGTCACGTGACCCGACGCAGCGTGACGGCGTGGTATCGTGTGACACCACACCCCGTAAAAACGTATTCTCAAATGTAACCGAGGCATCAGAACAGAACATACAATGGAAGGGAGACTGATCGCCGCAACTGTTTTACGTCCACGCTAAAAACAAAATGTTTACACCTTTAAGGGCGTAGATTAGCCTTCCCACAGATTACACTCTAAGGGTGTTGCAACAATACCCTTAAGGTGATAGTGAATACCCCGAAATTAGGTGCTGGCAGTCTTAGTCAAATCACTGATATATATATATATATATATATATATATATATATATATATATATACGAACAACGAGTTTACAAGCAACAGGTGCGCACCACACGTTCTTCTCATATTCAGAAGAAACGACACGCACTGTCGCAAAATAAGGGTATTGGAAGAGTGTAGCGATGGGTGTACGTCTCTGGAACAACCATTTTACACCTTTGGGGGTGTAATTTTTTATTTGACGCCGTCGAGGACAAAAATACTCCGTGTTTTGCCCATAAATGTTTCTATAAACAACGAGGAAAGTTTTCAAAGTTTAATTTAGATCTTCGCAAAAGAACTTCGGTCTTTGAAACGAGAAAAGAGAGGAAGGCGAGCGCGCGTTGTCCTTTTTTTATGACCGGAAACGCAAGCGCCGCCGATTTCCTGTTTCAAATCAGACTCGAGATTAAAAGCGCTCGTAGCGGTTTCTCCCGAGAACAGGTATATGGGAAAGGTTGACTAGGTTTCTGTTTTCTTTTTATAACTGTAGATTGTTTTTTTCGCTTTGTTTGTTGGATATTCTCTCGACCTTGTTTTCCTATTAATCCCATTTCTCACGCCGCTGCATACTCAAAGTAAAACAAAACAAAAAAAGTATGTAAAACAAAAAACAAATTGTTCGAGGCGTTTCAATGATTAGGCGGTAATTGTAACGGGCCGAGGAGCATTTATCTCTAACCAAATGAAATCCACTTTTCGCTGCGACGCAAATGTGACCGATTTTCCTTAAAGATCCAATTAACGGAGCAAGTCGTAACGCTCCAGCTTTTCATTTCGTTCTTTCTAAAACAAACGCTTTACTGCAGCAACTCGGTTTTATGAAGCGCCGATCTGTCCACAGCACCGAATTTCTTCCACAAGAACTGCATTACTTCGCTTTTCTTTTGCACGCTGAGAATATAACGAGGATTGCACGCGTTTTATCCGCCGAATTCCATATAAAAACCGTCATGAAGAACCGTCATGAAGAAACGTCCGGAAGGACTTTGACGTCATGACGCCAAGTGACATGGTAATGTGACGTGGCAGTATACCTAGCATGTGGTCAGACGATTCACTACCCATTCTATGGCTTCCGGCTGGATGAATGGATGCTAATGCTTTTGGAACGGCCGGTCACTCTATCCGTATGTTCTCACCAGTGTTGCCGGAGCCCACCATAAGCAACTTCTCGACCTTGGCGATGACTTGGTTGATGTACTGCGCTCCCAGCTGCGTAGAAGCAGAAAAATAAGAATCAGCAACAGCCTATGTTTTACATATTTATCAGGCGGTCTAATGACACGCCGATCATACTTCGTACAAAAGAGCCTGTTTGCAGAAAATTCCGAAGCATACAGGGTGCATCCGTAAGGACTAATGAAACATTTTGACACGCCTCGCAGAATTGGAATTCTAAACGTATATACCTGAAATTGGGCACGCGAACGTAATTTCGAAGGAAGTTTTACGCGTATTTTTGTTTCAGTGCTTGATTCAGAAATGCAAAATTCTTAAAACGAAAAAAAAAAGAGAAACAATAGAGCAAAATTTGCGGTTGGGTATTTTCTATGCCCCATATATCGGACATTGGTCGTCGGCACACTGGCTTGTGAGATTGCGGCTCCCACGCCGTCGTTGCTCTAGTATTTCGTTAAAGTATTAATTGACGCGATTATATCGCTCATCGCCAACTGCTGCTATTATGTTTTTTTTCCCCCTTTTTCCGTTTTACACGTTATTTGGGAGCGCGCTCATAAACCCGGCGTGCAGACGACGTACGATCAGGGCAGGTAATAGGACATAGAAAATACCTCTGAGTTTGCTGGTTTTTTTTTTTATATTTCACTACCTCAAAACTGAGCTTTAAATATATGTATATATATATGTAGACGTAAAACTTCCGGCGAATCTATATTTGTGGGCCCAATTTGAGGTATGTACGTTTTGAATTGGAATTTTCTGAGGCGTGCGCAATGTAATTCTTTCTTAGGGCTGCATGCACGAAGCAAATGTGCTCCCAACGTGCTTGGAGCGTGTCCAAGCACACTCTTCTGTCGCAGGCTGTGTTCCAAAATTTCCTCGATCTTACTCCGAAGTAGGGGTTTTGTACCTCGGCGTTCGAAAACCTACCCGCGTCCAGCGTTTTGCAGTCCGCGATGTCACGTGACACGACCCGCCGGAGTAACTCGGGATTCATTGGAGTAAGATTTGGAGGAAAGCAGCCATTATCTGTGCAGCCAACACCCTGGCTTTTGTTTGAGAAGACGCGAGACAACTCTGATCATTCTTTATCCGTAAAATTGCGTGTTTTCGACGTTTTTTTTTTTTTTTTGTTTTGGTGGTGGGGTTTTTTTTTTTTTTTTTTTTTACTGATTTGGTATTTTTCGTGCAAATTGGTCGTTACAACAAATTTACACACAAAAGAGACACCGAACCAGCAAGAAAAACAATTCCCTAAAAATAAATTCCCCCAAATGCGGAAAAAAAAAAACCTATACGCGGAATTTTACTTATACGCAGGACGTACCTAGCTTTTATCGGTTAAAAAATCGTGTTTTTTTTATTTTTGCAAATTTGTTAAAAAAAAGCCGTGAAAGCTACACTTATGCGTCTTGTGCGAATGATTTATACGCCCAGGAGGACATTATGTCGGCTAATTAATAAAAATTCACTCATAACTTTTTAATTACTGAAACTAGACACATGGTTCCAATTAGAAACTTGATGAGCGCCGTCCAAAACTTCTAAATCAGTAATTCTTAGAACGGCTTTGAGCGCGCGTGAAGCTTAGTAGTGCACTAAAGTTACCACTCGTGGAGCAGGTACAAGGCTGAGGCAAGAAAAGAGACGGTAAAATTGCTCGGGCGCCTTACCGAAACCGCTAGCCTTGTACCTGCTCCACGAGTGGTAACTTTAGTGCGCCACTCGTGGAGTAATTAGTGAATTTTAATTAATTAGCCGACTTATCGCAAATATTATCCACCCACATAATGTCACCCGCTTACTCGCTCCCCCGACCGCCAAGCAGGTATGGGCGACGAAAAAATATCAATACGTTTCAAGCCGCAAATAGTACAAAAAAATAGAAACCAGGCAAAACGAGAATGTGTGACGGTTACGTTTATGTACTCAATGTCTTCTATTGGCGTGGCAGTGGCGAAACAATGTTTTCGCCCATACTGGAAGTGACGAAAATTCAAGATGGCGGCGCCCTTGCGAAAAAGGTCTATAAGCGACCTTCAGTTTTTGTTTCCTGACATTCCGTTTGCTTCCCTTTGTCATTGCCACAGCAGGACAGGTTATCGCCACTTTAGGTGCTACTGTGTCCTTCTCCCCAGCATAGGCCTTTTTCTGGAGGCTCGTAATCTCCTTGTTCAGTGACTCTGCACCTCAGGAAGACCAGAGAAGGTCGGCAATGCTGGCTAAACCTGCGTTTAAAGCGTCTATAATTCACAAAGTGCGCTGGATTTAGTGCTACACCTTTTCCTCTCTTATTCCTTTTCTTCTTTCTCTTGTAGCATCGTTTTCTTTATATTTTTTTTACCGCTTTTTCTGGCTGTCTTTTTTCAATTCTCGTTTCTTCCTGAATCTACCGTCTTTCTTTTTCCTCTTCGTTTTTCTTGGTGTTTTTGGTCACTCGGGCTCGAAATGTGCCACGACACGAACCAGAGCATCTCCGTTCTGTCTTTCTTCGTGTTATTGTATACATATGTTGCTGTGTGTGCGTGTATGTGTGTGTGTTTGTGTGTGTGTGTGTTTTTTTTTTTTTTTTTTTGCTATTGTTACGTTGATAGAGTTTTCGCTTTTAGATCTCACAGGGAGCCAGTTTTCGGAAAGCTTTACGTGTTGTTGCCTTTTTTTTTTTTTTCACCTCCCTTTTGTCCGATTTCCTTGTCTTTAAGTGATTATGTTTTTCTTTGCCCGTCTTTTTTGTGTGTTTTAAAACGCGGACGACCCTTGTTTAGGGAAGTTAGAAAGTTAGAAAAAAAAAAAAAAAAAAGAAGGCAGCTCGTACTAGTTTCTCGCTTTCAGCTTTTTATGTCTTTTGCGGCACACGACGTCCAGAAGATCATGCTCGGAGAAGATGCGTTATTGTATGCGTTCTTTTTCTTTGGATACCTCAGCTCCGCTTATTCAAAATGCATCGTAAAAAAAAAAAAAAAGAGAAAAAACAACAAAAAAAAAAACAAAAGAACAGTACTGGACTCCGAGGATCATTTGGGCACCATCCTTTCGTAGAATGCAATAAATACCAAAAGAAAAAAAAAAAAAAAGAAAAACCGCACACGCCTGCTGAGAACAATCAGCAACGAACAAAATGAAGAAAGAAACAAGGAACCCTTCCTGACTGTTCGTGAGTCAGTTTCCAAAAGTAGTTCCCCACAGTGAAAGCTGTCCAAAGCAGAGAGGAATTCGGGATGGTGTTCTATTATTTTCTTCTTATATTTTTTTTATGAAAAGTGAATTCCCGTCATTTTGTTCTGTAGGGCTTTATATGATTTGCGTGTTTCGGAAGATGGACTCTATTTTTTCTCCGTCCTAGAAATGTTTCCGTTTGTGATCCCGTCACGACCTGAAGGGGGAGAAACGCGAAGTCACACCAGAAAGAGCCGGTGCGCCTTGGTGTATATAGTTGCGTCGACTCCGCCTTCCCATTGAAGGGTTCATTGTTGGCTTCAATGCGATTGGCTTTGGATACAGCGAAGTTCGGCGCCATTGAGGAACGCCCGAGAAGCTTATCGTTAGCTCAAGTACTTCGTGAGTTCCTCGAGCCTGCCTCCTGAATTGACAGTTCACACGCTGGAAAGACGACCTATACGGCTGCGATTTAAAACAATACCTTTCCTTCGTCCGACTATTTTTTGTTCTTTTGTTTTTATGTATAGATTTTTTTTCTAGCCAAAACAATAGGCTCCGTCAATTTGGCGCTATCTCAATTTCGATACCTTCAACGACACATTTTATTTACCATTAAAGCAGTGGGGGGGGGGGGGGGGGGGGGGATTGGCGGCGACTTTTAGCTGTTAAGTCCTATATATCTAATGCATGAAATGCGTTATGGGGAATTGGGGAGGAAATCGGTGTGTGACGTGACGTATATATTGTCCCGCTATATTTAGCGAGGAAACAGAATGACTGTTTAGGTCACGTGACGTCGCTTTCCCCCCGCTAAATTTAGCGGAAAACTGGATTGGTATTTAGGTCACAAGACGCGAATTTTCCCGCTAAATATAACGGGTGACTGAATCGGTGTATACGCTACGTGGCGTCAATTTTCCGCCAAATTTAGCGGGGAAACGTAATTGGTCTGTATATGTTTCGTGACATCAATCTTCCCGCTAAATTTAGCTAAGAAATAGAATTCGTGTACTTAGGTGTCGTGATCTAAATTCCCCCGCTAAATTTAGCGGAAAATGCACGGCCGGGCAGACAAAACTTTGGGATCGAGGGGGGGGGGGGGGGGGGGGGGGAGGGGGTTAGCGTTAAAACTCATTTATGCTTTACGACCAACGTCAGTACAAATTTGGCACAAACGGAGTGGCATCGCATCTCCTGAGTATACAGAGTCTCTGTGTCATTGTAGAAACAACAGGGTGCGGATGATAAAGTCTCTCGGACATTATCTTCGATTCAATCTGGTTTTTGCGCACGCGCAATGCCGACAGCTGGTGTGGGCAAACGCCGGCTTGTTTGTGAAGAGCCTGTTGACCTACACGGCGTAAAACTTGCGTACATCGATAATACGCCATTTATAGATCCCCTTTTCAATTCAAGGGAAACTAAAGTGGATTCTGAGATTGTCTCGTGTGAGTTTCTATGTGTTCCCTGGGCATTTTAGAAACCCTGAAACTATACAATCTTGCATAGCTTCTTTCCTCTTTTTTTTTTTTTTTTGATGCAAGGAACCAGTCAGACACGGACCATTTTTCTGAGATATCTCGGGAAAAGACGACTGTGTCGAGATGTTTGGTCGCTTTTTTACTAGAGAAAAAGGTCGCGTGTGATTTGTAATTTGGGGTTTTGTAAAATGTTTAGAGTGTGTATATTTTAAATTCGCGCCATAAAAAAAAAAAAAAAAAGACGATATGTTGTGCCCCTTTATTATTTATGGCCAGCTAAATCAAAATCTGCCAGTTTTGCGTCTGTTGTGTCCCGTACCATGGGTTTAATGCGGACTGTGGACGAACTTAAATGTTCTATAGTGAGGCCCCCAGCCAAGTCAAATAACA